ACCTAGCTTCAACCAAATCAGTCCAGTAGTTTTTGTGTAAAAGAATAACAAACATAATACATCCATACATTCTCTTAACTTTCACATATGATGATGATGATAATGATATTAGTAGGATTTACCTGGAAACTCGACCCTTCTCCTTCGAACGAAAAATGATGAAGATTTTTTACTTTTTCAACATTCGCAATCCAGAATACGACTGCAAAGGGAAAGTGTTGACTTGTTCATCACTGAACGTAGATACCTATTATCAAAATTCAACACACAATTACGAGGAATTGCTTTTGGAATAGTAATGAGAAGTTTACAATAAGATTTATAACAATGCAAACAAATGTTGTTGTTATGTAATTATAGTGTTTAAGCATTTTGAGTGTGATTCGTTTATTAAGTCACAAGGTTTGACCTATTTTTAAGTGTGGAAGAGCCATGATTCGGCACGAATGGGTTGGGTCGACCGGAGTGATACCACGGCCTCAGAGAAAACTGGGGTGAAACAACCCAACATTATGTTTCGTGTGGATGAGGTTACCGGAGGCATCCTTCCCCTCCCCAATCCCAAAATCTCCAAATCCCTAATACAAAAGGTCGGCGACTCACTCGTAACTCGTCCTCTGTTGTTGCGGGTGTCCATGTGTGGCGCTTTTTGCTTACCATCAGCTCGATTGCCGTCTTATGACATACATAATGATTTGGGGTGTAAGTGTAATGAATAATGATGTCCTTGCCCGAGGCAAGGCTCGGAATACGCGAAGGAATGGTGTGGTTTTTAGTCAGTAAGAATTTGGCAATCCATCTCGCTCCACCTAAAGCGGGAGAAGTTACCTAGGTATATGAAGGTACATATCTACCCTTAGATATATACCCTCAAAACAAAGAAATGCATCGAATTCGTTACATGTTTCTGATGGTATACCTACTACAATTTAATGTGCAAGAGTTATTTTCCGTAAATTTCATTGTTTTTGTAGAAGTAATTTTTCCATAAAAACGATTAGGTATATATACCTCTAACAAAGAATTTACTAAACAAACCGGCGTTTTTTTAAAAGCTTAATTAAGTATTTTAAAAATAGTTTACCTGTAACTGTATTAAAATACCTAATTAATCTGTTACAGGTTCTATGCCTTGTAACCCTTTACGTTTGCCTTGTAAAGGGTTACAAGGCATAGAACCTGTTAAATAACTAGAACCTGTTAAAATTATGTTAATCCTTAAAACCTACAAAAAACCTGCAATGCACTTGCAATGCAATGCACTCCTTTGATATAACGATTGTTGCCAATTATTTACCATCATGTAATCCATATGCCATAAAAAAATCGTCGCATTTGTGACCAAGAAATTGCTCTTGAATTATTTATAAACTAACTAATCACAGCAGTCAATCTGTGAGAGTTCATACCTAACTAAAACTCTATTATAATTATTAGGTTAGTACAGTATGCACCAACTGTTTTGGTTGAGTGATAGCGATCGTGATTCGTGACTGGTGATTGCTAAAACATTATTTATTTGAATATATTTTTTTTTCTGCATGGGCCTTTTTTGTGAAGGGAAAATCATCAAATGACTTCTCCGGCGGGAGAGAGTGTCAGACTCTTACTGACTAAAAACCCCCCCGTTCCTTCTCCTGCTCTGGGCTGAGGTCACGGTGCCTCATTGCGCTTACCCCGCAACCCCAGCTGAACATCAGCCCTATAGGGCCCCGTCTGTGGTGGTCTATTGGCTCTCTCGGGTCTGGTTCTGGTCGGGCGGCGAGCTACCCTTATTCGTCGTCCGCAGACCCGTCGACCGAGTTTCGCCGTGTGATTGAGGTTACCGGAGGCCCAATCCTTCCCCTCCCGCAATACCTAAATCTCAAAATCCCCAATCCCCAAAAGGTCGGTAACGAACTCGTAACTCCTCTGTTCTTGCGGGTGTACATGGGCGGTTGATTGCTTACCATCAGGTAATCTGTCTGCTCGTTTGCCTACTTATCTCATAAAAAATAAGATTACCGTTGTGACTTGAAATTAGTAGAGGTGATCGCAGTTAATTCACACGAATAAGTCGTTATTTTTAAAATCATTAATGGGTAGCCTAACTTTAATGGCCTAGACATAATAACAATATCCTTCCTTCAGTCACTTGATGACTGCACGGTTGATGCGGTGGCTGGGCAACTGGCTGCCTTGCAACGGGTCGGGGGTTCGATTCCCACACGGAACAACTCTTTGTGTGTCTAGGTGAGATGTGTATGTGTAACTGTGTTTGTAATCGCACCCACGACAATTTCACATACACATCACACTCAGACCCGGAGCAACCATTTGTGGATCACAAAAATTGTTCCGTGCGGGAATCAAACCCGCGACACGTTGCGGGGCAGCCAGTTGCCCTGCCACCTCACCGACCGTGCAATCGATAGTCGAATTGACAATAAAAAAAAACAAAAGAAAAAGACTGTAAATGTATAAAGGGAATTAATAAAAAAATAAAACGAGGAATATTCTTAAAATAAAATATATTATCGAACCAATGTTACAGCTTAAAAAAATGTACGCTTCAGATAGTTAGCTCTAAACCTAGTTCATTACAATTAACAATATTATTTTAGGTAATAATGCATAACAAAATGTTTTTTTTTTCATCTAAAACTCAGTACTTACTCCGTGCTTGCCTTTAGGAAATATGAACTTTAATTTGAAACCCGTAAGGTGCGTTTTGGTGTAACGCCTCATGCATAGGACACCGTGACTTCGCAAAGAGGTCAAAACACAAATATGTATTTTTAAAATTTTGTTAGTGACATGTAATAAGTAGTGTTTTTCAAAAAAGAACCTTATATTGTGGTGAATAACATTACTTTTTGTATGAAAAATCATAATTAGGTGGTATTTTTTTTAACATTTATAAGACGATTATTTAGTACAGTTTTAAAAAATTTAATCAGTTATGCATAGAATGACAGTAAAATTCGGTGGACAGGTTACATAATATGCACCAGGAAATAGCTCTCAATTCTTAGGTAATAAAGGTGATTTTTGATTGTGATATACGAAGACTCATTACTAAGATATTGTACAGCTTTCTTTTGTTGAAGGAGAAATACAATTTAACATTTCTGTGAAAATTATAATATTTGTTGATATTTATTTATGTACAAACTTGTTGAAACAGTATTATTACTTGCATGCATTTCTAGTGCAATTAACAATCTCTAGTTAATTAATGTTTTTGGCTTACTCACGTAATAATTTGACGAGATACTCGACTAGTAGCAGCGCGACAGCCGCTGCGTCGCGTGTCGCGAAATGCTGCTTATGAATATGGGCCTCTAGCATGGCTTAAAACTAGTCGATTATTTCGTCAAATTATTACGTGAGTAAGCCGAAAACATAATAATTAATTTAGAATGTCTACGAAAGTTATAATAAAAATCTTTAGTTACCTCACCTAGTCGCTTGAGGGCGCTTAACCCTTTGAAACCCGATAGAAATAACATTAAGTTTTCCTTAGATCTGAATTCCGAGAAACAATTGGGTAGTTTCCTAGGTCAAAAATAAATAAATTTGACGTTTCAGTACAATATTGGAAAATAGCTATACTTTCATTCATCGATCAATCATCATCATACACTGAATTTTAGATATATTTGAGCCCTATTTTTTAAGAAATAATTTAACTATGTGACGCCAAAATACTATGACGTCATAACTCAGTTTTACATACAAATTTCATAGAAAGTTATCGTTTTTGACATTTGTCTAGGGATATTCAATACTTTTATACGAATGTCAAAATCGATACTTTTCTATGAAATTTGTATGAAAAACTGAGTTATGACGTCATAGTTTTTTAGCGTCAAATAGCTTACTTATTTCATAAAAAATAGTTACTAAATATCCAAAATTTAGTGTATCAATTGATGAATAAAAGTATAGTTATTTTTCAATATTCTATTGTATTGAAACGTTGAATTAATTTATTTTTTACCTAAGAAACTACCCAATTATTTGGAAGCACATAAATAAACACCAACAAATATTATATTTAATCGAATAAAATACAAAACAATAATTATTTTTCCTTAGAAATAAACGAGAAACATGTTAATAATGTTCTAATTCAAATATCAATAATTAAATAATAACAAAAAATAAAAATACAACTGCCTCCCCCTTACTTACTTTGTTACCATCAATATTTTGACTAAATATGAAAAAACTGTGTATATAAGGCAGAGTGTAATTTTTTTTTATTTACTTATTAAGTTTTTTTTCTATAGTAATGTTATTATAATAATAAGAAAGCAAGAACTAGTTGACATGCTATAAATACATATTTATACATTTTGTTTTTTGTATGGCAACTCTTGTGAGGATAGTCGGTCGTCGTGTAATTGGTTTTTTTGGTTATTTTTTCGTAGACAAGAGAAGGAACGGGGTGGTTTTTAGTCAGTAAGAGTCTGACACTCCCTCTCGCCTCACGCTGGGCGAGAGAAGTCATTTGATAATTTGGTGCCCTCAAAAAAAGTTAACTAATGTGTTATACCAATTCCTTTCTTTTATATAATAAAAAAGTATAGTATGACTTGCATATTCACTTCGAAGCCCTTTTCTTCACTTTCTTAACACAGAAATGTGTTAGTCTACATTTTCTCTCGTAATCTCTACATAGTATAAAACAAAGTCGCTTTCTCTGTCCTTATATCCCTTATGCTGTATGTATGCTTAAATATTTAAAACTACGCAACGGATTTTAATGCGATTTTTTATATTATATTTGGAATATTTATATGTAGGCATAATAACATCTAGAAATCTTATACCAGCATTTTGTCCGTGCAAAGCCGGGTATTTCTCGTCAATCCATACTATGCAATATTTGACTTACAATTTCTTTAGTAAGCATTCTCCTTATAAGTTCTTCATGGGACTTCCTAATATACTTTTCTATAATCAATAGCAAGTCAAGCTATACTCTTTCTATACAAAACCAGTATACATCGACGCACTATCCCCACAAAGAGTGCGAAACAAAGCGGACAGCTATACAGTACCTATAATATATCACAAACTTACAACTCGTTGAGGTCGGGAGATTATGTGGCCCATGAAGCCAATTTTGCAAGTTCGTCTTCGTCCTCTGAAATTGAAAAAAACCGGGTTTTAAAAAAATTAAACCCCACACTAGGATTTGATCCTGTGTCGTGGGTGCATTTACAAAAATACATTTTCACATACACATCACACTCAGACACGGAACAACAAAACCCGCGACACGTTGCGCGGCAGCCAACATTTTAGACATCCAAGTCTTTTAGTTACTGAGATTGTTTTTTTACACTCAAAAAAATATTTCGAAAAATCGGGACAGTCCGAATTTTATCGGATGCGAATTCAGAAATCTAGATATTCTAGTGCATTGTCTACCAAAAGTGCGTATTTATGCATATACAGCGTCGTGTGAGTGAGGTTACCGGAGGCCCAATCCTTTCTCACCCCAATCCCTCCCCTATGCCAGAATCTCCAATTCTCTAATCACCAAAAGGCCGGCAATGCACTCCTTACTTCTCTAGTGTTTCGGGTATCAATGAGCGGCGTTGATTGCTTACCATCAGGTAATCCGTAACCTCGTTTGACTACCAATCTCATATAAAAAATTGCCAACTCACCGGTCTGCTTGGACCTGCTGGGCTTCGGCTTGTCGTGGACAAGTTCCGATGTGGGCACGTCGGGCAGCGTGTCCGTGGGCACGTTGATGCCCAGCATCTCTTTGTCCAGATCCTCCTGTGAACAACACACGTGATTAGATATTTAGAAAGAATAAATTAAATAAAAATCATGTTTTTAAGGTCTCAATTTTGGCGGGGTCGATTCGACCGGAGTGATACCACTGCCTCACAGAATAGCGGCGTGAAACATCTCTCATTATCAATCCCCAAATCTCCATATCCTTAAATCTTTACAAAACCACTCACTTGTAGTAACGGCTTTGCTATTACGAGTAGGGTTACCATATTTCAAGATTTGTCCTGAGATTTCAGGATTTTTCGACTTATCCCAGGATTAGGGCCGGATCTTGCAAATCACATATTATCTCAGGAGTTTCTATAGAAATCAGGCTTTTTCCCAAGTGTTTTTATTTTTTCATCTGATAACGCTAATTGCGAGTATTCACGGCATGGATTGCTTACCATCAGGTCATATCGACCTGTCGGCTAAAAGTGAGGTTCAAATATTGCCATACCTGTTCCAACTCCTCGAGTTCCTTCTCGAGCTCGTCCTCGTCGATGTCGTTGGGGAAGGCGACGTTGTTGCTGATCGCGTCCGTGATCTCCCGCGAGATGTCGTGCTGTTCCGCGATGTCATCCATAATATCGTGCACCTTGTCTACATCGCTGCGAAGGAACGAGAGGGGTGATATTTAAAAATCAAGATGGCGCTATTCGGTATTTGACAACTGTTTAAATTCTGTCAAATCGTTCTATGTGATTTGAACGGGACTTTTATTAAAACCTTATTTTTTTTTGTTAGCGTTGCCCCATACTAGTATTTATCCTGTGTCGTGGGTGCGTCTAAAACATACAATTTGCCCTATACGTCACACCAAGACCCGGAACAACGATTTGTTGATCGCCACAAAGAGTTGTTCTGCTCAGGGATCAGGTAATCTGGTCGTTTGACGTACAATCAGATAAAAAAGAAAAAAATACTAACATATCCTTATGAGCCAATTTCATGGCGTTAGCAGCATCCCTCATAGTGTTCAATACTTGAGCGTTGGTGTTAGCGCCCTCTAGAGCCTCGCGCTGTGCCTCAATTTGCGTGAGAGTGCCATCGATCTGTGTCAACTGCTTCTCATAACGCTTCTTGCGCTTAAGAGCCGCGATGGCCGCTGTAAATCATAAATTAAAATTTGTTTTTATAAAATGTCATTTTAAGTCCGAATTCCCTTTTAAAATAATCATGAATCTATATAAATATTATTAAGGGGTAACATTTGTAAGTTTATATGTAGGGGGTATTCTTTGGAACCACTGGTCGTATTTCCAAAATTCTTTCACTGATAGATAGCAACAATGTTCCTGTGTGCTATAAATTATAGGTACTTGATTTGCATTCTCTAGTCAAGGTATTGCTGTACACGCTGCTGTTTAAAAATCCCGAAATACATTACTTCGATACGGGTGCGAAGCCAAATGCGGAAGCTAGTTTTGTTATAAAATAAAAGATAAATACACAACACTTTGAAGATGTCACACCAAATGTGATGAAGTAACACTGGTTTAACAAAACATATTCAATAATCCTCTACCCCACAGTGAAAACTTTGTATGTTAGCTTAGCTTGTTGGCTTAGCCTATAAATTAATTACTTAACTCTGTGAAATAAACATAAATAAATAAATAATAATAAACATTATTTTTAACCAGTAAGGCAAAGAATCCATGTCATACAAACTCTTATAACTTCAAGTATTTAACAAATTTGTATAAAATCCAATAAGAACATAGACAATGTCACAGATTATAGTAACATTAAAAATGTATTAAGCACAATTACTATTGTTACCTAGCCTACAGCTCAATTAGCTTATCTATTACACATGAGATCATCAACAATTGGCATTACAATAGTCAGTATGTTACGGACCTGGGCCTCTTTCACCAGTGCTGCATTTACAAAACACCCTGTATATTTTATATATGATGTTCTGTATTTAAAATTCTGGTGTTCAGCCTTAAATATTATAGCATGATAATGATATACGGATAATGTTATAGACAAGACAATGTATGTGTAATGTAGAGGTTAACCTTACAATTGTGGTAATTTGAGACAGAATAGTAAGGCAATAAGTGTATGAATGCCAGCATTTGCTTGGAGTGAGGTGAAATAAAATAAAAACTAAACTATGGTCCATTTGTAAAATAACTGTAAACAGTTTGTCTTCTTAAAAAAAAAAAATTCTATGGATGTCTACAATTGTGTCTACCTAAATGTATATTAGTTAATAAATTCACAAAACATATTATTATAATTACAGTCATAAATAGACCTAAGTGGGTAGTTTAGTTCTAGGTCAAAAATAAATTAATTTGATGTTTCAATACAACAAAATATAAGTATACTAAACTTACTAAAAAAAATAAGTATACTTTCATTAATCAATCAATCAGTACTCAAAATTTGAGATATTTTTTAGCTAATTTTTAGGAAATAAGTAAGTTATTTCACCTAAAAATACTATGATGTCATAACTCAGTATTTCATACTAATTTCATAGAAAAGTGTAGTAATTGACATTTGAATAAAAGTATTGAATTTGACTAGTTGGAAACTACCATATTGGCACAGTACTCAAGAGAGAGCTCAAGTTATTCAAGGTGAGACTTTCATGGTGAAAGTCTCACCTTGAATAACTTGAGCTTCAAAGTTAGAAGGGGTAGTAAAAATTTTATATGACCAGTACACTTCCACTTCACTCCAGCAAATTAAGGAAGTGATGTTAAACGTTTTTTATATAAAAATCAATTTCTATAGCCCTGAATACTAAAACACTGGTTTTTTTATCATTACGAATATGTAACCATATCACTAGGTATCATAAGACATTCTAAGTTAAATAATACCTAATTTAGTTAGCTTTGCCACAGTGTGCCAATATGGGCCATTTGTAAACAGTTGTAGCATGTCATTTTATCAATTTTTTTGCTATAAATGTCTACAATTGGGTTTACCTAAATCTATGTTAGTTAATAAATTGAAATAAGCGTTGTAGGTATATATGTATTTCATTTATATCAAGATTTTTTAGTTTATTATGTTCATGCAATGTCATGTAAATTAAGTAATTTAATATAATTCAATTTAAGATTTTTGTACCTACCTTAACAAGCAAATAAAGAATTTAAATTACTTAAACAAATAGACTACCATAGAGTTTTTCCTCAAACATTTAATTGACGAAGCCATGTTTGTTTCCTAAACTTTTTTGACTAAAATGAGAACATTTTTATCAGTTAAGGTTGTAAATCATAAACTAGGTACCAATATGTCTAGATATCTTGATAGACTACCAGAGATTTTATCAACAGAAATACAAAACTTATTATTGATTGTTTTAGAAAATCCAGCTTTGAGTGAAAGCTATTCTTTAGTGGTTTTTCCATTTTTATATATTAAAAAAAAACAATAATGTGTTCTATGAGTCATAAGTGAATATTAGTCATTGTATATGAAAACTGTTTATATCTAACAATGATTTGTGATAAAACTTCAACTCATTAACAATAACTTAATATTATTTTTAACAGAGTACAAGAAAGAAATTTGCAATTATAAGGAAGTGAATATAGGCAAAGGCAGAAGATATTCAGCCAAAGGCCGTTATAAGGATGTACCAACGAAATATCTAACAATTAATTGAATAACAAGGTCATACATACATGTCAACAAAGAGCCAGATTGCGAATTAATTTTTACGAGTTAACAAACATGGAAGAAATGTCTCATATGTAAACTCACCTCGCTTATTCTTTGTGCCGTTTTTCCTAGCAGTCTGTATTTCTATATCGATTTTCTTTTCTAGAAACTCCTGTTTTTTCAACAATAACTCCTCCGTCTCACGTAATTTCTGAATAGCTTCATGTGTCGTCGGACCCTTTTCTTCCTTCTTTCCACCGAATAACTTCCCCAGAAAACTCATTTTGGACCACCAATTATACTATTAAATGCTAAATAAACAATGTATTGCAAAAGATTATTCACGAATTACGCGTAAAGAGATGAAATTGGTATTTCGATTCCGATTCTTTTACGGGAGTATGCGTCACCCTGGTAACATTCGGAGTACAATATTTATTAATAACAAATAGGTATTTCACTCATCAAAAATTAATAAACTACAAGTTTTTAAATAAGGAACATATTTCAATTTCTTTTCTTAAATAAAGCATAAATTTGTATTAAATGATTAATTAATTTAATGTTCTAAACACAACCGAACAAAATTTTTCCTCATAAAGTTTTTAAACGCACCGTGAGGCAAGCTGTTTTCTGTCAAAATATTTATTTTTATTTTGGCAACCGTATCGTTATCATCGCGCCAGCGTAAAAATATATTGAGTAACAGCCATTGTGATAACGTATTTCAGCAATTTCACTCGTGTGTCTAAACGGTGGGCCTTATTAAGTAACGAATTCCGAGCGTCTTAAAAACAACTTTCAACAAATCGTAACGGGCGTACATTGCGTACAACGAATACGCCACGGTGGCTGCTGCGAAGCGAATTCTTTGCAGACACACAATAAGATTTGGTACGCTCAAGAAAACGTTGGCGAAGCAATCATTATTTGCTGGTGATGGCGACACACATTCACTGCGTATCCACTATGTCCTACAACTAGCCAGATATTTTTATTAATTACGACTGCTAAAAGGGAAGATGATATTAATTTGATGAGCAGATCACGCTTTTACCCTTATTGTGGAGTTAAAATACTGTACCTATGGATTATAATAACGTAATATCAAAATGGCTGGATTCGAGCTTAGAGTATGCTCTACTAAAAGTAAGTCTAAGTCGTATCGTGGTGGCCTAGAGGTTAAGGCGCACGCAATGACCTTTATGGAATACGTTTTTTAAAGAGGTACTCCAATGTGACTTTTTCCGAGTTAGTTATAATTATGTATTTTGTATGAATTATTTAAACGCCACTGAGATAAGGTGAAGGAAAATAATCCGCCTTGCGCAAGCGTAATGATTAATGCTCAAACCTTGTCCGTGTCAGAAGAGGCCTTTGTTCAGCAGTAAGCACTTAAAGGCTGATTATGAAGAGCATACAAACTCAAGTTCCTTATTGTTTGGATATTAATCTAAGTTGGACACTTGACGTTTTTAAAAAGTTATTAAGTTTTTGAACGTATTATTTTTATCGTAACATTGTCACTGATTGACAGTTACAGCTGTCATACATGTCAACAAACCTCTGCTGTCTGCTGTCATTTTGGAAATTTTGTTGTGCCCAAACGACTCAAATTCGCCGCATGTGAACAAAAACCAACATATAAAATATACTACTCGCAAGATAACACAAAATTTGAATTGAAACCCTCAAACAAACTATAAATATGGTTCGCGTTATTACTCAAGAGACTTACGATGAAGTGGTGAAGGAAAACATCGATGAGTTTGATATGACTCCCGAAGAGGCTATAAAAGAGGCCGTCGCCCAATTTGAGGCACAGGTATGTATTCAAATCCTATGTAAGTTATATAAGAACTGTATAGCGAAAGTATGAAATGCGCTTTAATGTTGTAAACATGTATTTCTTTGCATACAAAATAGTTAAATTAGTCATATCTATAATTAACTTGTGCAGGATCATTCTTAATGATCTAATCAATGTCCTTTAAATCAGGATCTTTGTTAAGTGATGACTTCATTATCTGTGCTGGTATAGAACCTCTTTTGTTGCTATACTTAGTATTTCTACTGCATTCTTTTTTTAAATCTTTAATTTATTTGCTCTACTGTTAGCTGTAAATTATTATAGAATCCACTGTTTTATTTTGTGTGTACTTTGTTATATTTATCTCTGCAAAAATGGCAGTAGGTTGTTTTCTTAAAATTTACTTTATTTACATATTTACTTTCTGTTATCTGATTTAAGAAATAATAAATAGGTATCCTCAATATTCTATAAATTAAGCAACTCAAATAAACTATATCAAAATTTCTTTTTTTATTGCCTCTGCCACTATATTAAATAAGTATTACTTAAATACTTTTTTTTCATAACTTTTCTAACCATATTTTATAAAATATATGCTTTAAAAATTATAACAAGAATATGTTTCATTCACTTTTCAGGGAGTAGACCTATCAAACATTATTAAAGATCTGGCCCTTGGCTCCGGAGACAATCATGTTGTTACAGAGAATGTTTCGAAGCTGAAAGAACTCTGCAGCGGTAAATATGATCATGATGCTGTTTTAAAAGAATTGAGTGTTTTGAAGGTATTGATATGTTTCTTATTATTTGCAGAAGTTTTGTTCTAGTGTGGTCAATTAAAAGTGGTCAGTTAAAAAAAAAAAACATGATTATTTAGATTATTTAAATATTTCTAAATTTTTTTCTGATGTAAAAATATTTACTCTAAAATTTCAGAAATATATTACACATTAGGTACGATTTACAAACGCATTTTAATATCAAAGAGAAAGCAAAAATTCAGTAATCAAAAATATTTCAGTCTCAAAAAATTGATCAGAATTAGACCTTGCCGTCATGTTAACAAGTACTTAATCACATTATGAAACAATGAAACAATGAATTTATTTTTGCAAATAGACTTAAAACGGCACTTTTACGCGTCAATTTATATGTGAAAAACTAGATGAAGCCGGCCTTATATAGCCTTATATTGATATTAACAACCCCATCACCTTTTAAGTTACCACTACTGAACAAAAGCCTCTTCTCACACAGAGATTTCATCATTAATCACCATGCTAACAAAAGGCGGATTGACAATTTTAAACATGATAAAATTGGAATTATAAGTCCAGATTCCTTCTGGATGATGTTATTGATAAACTTTAAAAGTACGTGTGTAAATTGGAAAGCATCACATTTGTAGCTGCACTTTGAACTGGCTTACTGTTCAGCCTGGGAACCAGGTGTCTTAATCTTAGTGCCACTATGAACTTAATTACTTTATAATTAACTAGTTGTTTTCAAATTCCAGGCAGAATGTGAAAAAGATATAGCACGAAGAGTCCGTGCTGGTAAAGAGGGTGCATACAAAGTTTTATTAGACCTCCTTTACTCAAAGTACAGCAAACTCTGCCAAGAACTGAGTGACCGTGATACTAAGTTCATTATCAATGTACTAGAAACGATGGCTGCTTTGATGGATATGCAACCTGATTTGCTGGATAGTAAAGGCATCGATTTGATTAAAAAGTAAGTGCCATACTTCAGCTCGATCAGAGTGATACCATGGGCTCAAAGAAAACTGGCTTGAACCACCGCTTTCGTTGTGTGAGTGAGGTTACCTGTGGCCAAATTCCTATCCCGAAATCCTGGAATGCCTAAACCCCGAAAGCTCTGTAACGCACTTGTAACTCCTTGATGTTGCAGGTCTCCATGGGTTACGCATTGCTTACCATCAGGTCATATACCACATAAAATCAATTCTTCTTTATGTTTCAGTATTCTAGATAATGTAGAAAATGAAGATATTTTAGTAGCCACATTGAAATGGACAACAACATGCTGTGTCAAACATGAGATGAACAGGCAAAAGCTATTTGCTAAAAATATTGCAGAAAATCTCAAGCTGTTGCTCAAAGTCGTTGGGAATTATAAGGTAATAGTCACACTAGCTCTAGTTTAGTTTATTTCTGTTCTAGTTACTTAAGTGTGGGAAAACCAAGATTCGGCTCCACCGGACTGATACCACAGCCTCACAGAAAATCGGCGTGAAACAACCACAACGTTGTCTTTCGCCGTTCTTTTCCCCAAATCCCTAAATCCCCAAAATCCTTTTCCGCAATCGTAACTCTTTCATTGTTGCGGGTGTCCATGGGCGGCGCTGATTGCTTACCATCAGGTAATCCGTCTGCTCGTTTGCCGACCTATCATATAAAACAAAACACTGATATATCCGTTAAGCAGCAATTGATGACTCCAAACTTCAAAATGGAAATTCGAAGTCTAGGTGGAAACCTGTTTTGATTTTACTGTGTGAAAGAGCCATACTTCGGCACGAATGAGCCGTCTCGACATGAATGACACAACGGCCTCACACAAAACCGGCTTGAAACAATATATTGCTTATGTTGTGTTTCGCCATGTTAGTGAGGTTACCAGAGGCCTAATCCCCCCTCCTCAATTCCCTTATCGTAATCCTCACTCCCCTAACTCCTCTGTTGTTGCGGGTGTTCATGAGCGGCGCTGGTTGTTTGCTCGTCAGCTGTCTTATCCTATAAAAAATATTGATTGAGGAATCACGATGTTTTTTTTACTGCATGCCAGCACCCTCGACCTGACTTGACCTTGCTTGCCTTAATTCCTGAAATGACTTTAATTATATTTAAATCCGAACTTATGATTAACCTTTTTTCATTATGTGTTGATAAAAAATCTAAATAAATAGCATAAATAAATTAATTAGTTTCTTTATGTTTCAGTTACTAAGTGAGACTCTACAAGTGATTAGAAAGTTAACTTTAGATGATGATGTTCGCGTGGAGTTTGGTAAGGCGCACGACCACGCCAAGGAGTTGGGAGCGCAAATGTTGGAGCCTCTTACAAATTTATTGAAAGGTTAGTTTTTCGAATATGAGGAAAATTTTACCAGGTTAACGCACTTGTTACTCCTCTGGTCATTGCTTACCATAAGGTAATCAATTTGCTCGTTTGCCGTAACATGTACATCCATATTAATATCACCTTTTTTACACAGTTTGTTTGGTAGTCAGGTTTGACGGTTTCAGTTTAAATCTATCCATTTATTTTTTGTAATAGGCCATACAATGTACTGTACAATTATATTTTTAAAGTATAAAGAAAGAGAGAGAAAATGTCTTAAATATATATAAAACTTACCTACTTACTGTTTTGGTACAATTAAAAGAGGTCCCATAATAGAACCCTGAGGCATACCGATTGTAAAGTTTTTGAAGTTACTACGTATAGAGGACAAAAAGTTTTCATGGCTCTCGAGGAAAACATTTTTGACGTCTCGTTTTAGTGAAACGACCCGTCCAACCATCTGATGGTAAGCAATCAGCGCCACCCATAGTCCCATAGGTTATGATAGGCTGGTCAGTAACAATTTATCTAAATGACGACAAACGATTACAGAGAACACAAAACCTCCACTAGTATCAGAGTTGATGCTGACTATAGCTAGTCTACTGGTTCGCCACGAGCTTTGCAAGATGGTAGCGGATTGTGGGGTCGATGTACTGTTCACAGTCCTCGCTGATAACTACGATAATGTCGTTGTGGTGCAACAGGCTGATAAATTGTAAGTATTTTTTTAATGTTATTGTTTTTTATTACAATATTAGTGGTTTTCGACTAGATTCGCGTTGTATCCTCGCGCTCCATTGAAGCGACAGACTGGAGATCTACAGCTCCCTCCTCAGTTTGTAATGAGTTGGGGAATACGGGGCAGGCCTTCACGTGTGAGGTGGCATGTGAATTTAATTCGAACTCTCGCGCTCACTTGAGAAACAACAAAGTGGTTTTAGTCAGTAAGAGTCTGACAGTCCTTTTCGATTCCCCAGGCAAATTAATACACAAAAGTTTTCCATTGTGGGTTAAAAATATTTTTTACTATTTGACGTTTCTATAAAAGTACCTGTAGTTGAAATTTGAATTTGACTTTAGATTTTGACTTTGACATTGACTTGGTATGTATAAAAAACGCGGTAGCTGAAATTCAGTGACTTACTTTTCTCAAATTTGTATTCAATGAAAGAAAATGTATGACCCAAACGTGCATTATTGTATTGTAATAATCTACATTTTCTTACGCCTATAAATTAGCTTATATTATTGCTATATAAATACAATTAACAAAAAAGATCAAAAGTGCGATATCAGGTAAACCTATGAATGTTTGTAATTATGCCTTTAAAATTTTCTTTTTATTTATGTCAATTTTGATGATGCAAAGTTCGCTAGGTCAGCTAGTAAGGTATAAAAAATGTTCTAGTCTTCTTGAAGTGCAAGTTAATTTATATTTAAAAGCCACACATTTTCTCAGCAGACTGATAATGTGATCTTAAGAACAAACACCTCTCGTTGTCAAGATGTAGCGTCTTCTTCTTAACAATGATCTCATTCTCCAATATAGACCGTTCGTGTATTAATTCAGCCCTCAACTTCTCAGTTTCCAACGAACGTTTTTGCAACAAACTCATACTGTCATTCAAATCCCTTACTTCCTCTATCAGGGCCACCAAAGACCCTTCTCTGCAATTCTCGACGTTCGGTCTACAGTTTTTAGTGTTCAATCTTGTTTGAGCTACTTGTATCCTTTGGGAGACCTTCAACATTTCCTCGTGTAACATCTCTAGAATGTTCTCCGTCTCGACTATTTTTTCAAGGGTCAACTTTAACTGGTTTTCTAGTTCGGCCTTCACTTGTTCCGTTCTTGCGATCCTTTCGCTTAGTGATTTGTTTACTTTTATGTCTTGCGAACGAAGATCTCTCGATGTGTTGATTAGAACTGCGTCCACTTTAGCTCTCAAAGCTTTCGATTTGTCGATCGATATTTTGAATTCGTTTAAAGCGTTTATCGTGAATTGTTCCCACGATGGAACGTTTGATTGACCTGTAAAAATAAATAATTTATTTTACTTCATAAAGAATAATTGTGGGAGAGCCATACTTCAGAAGTACGGGATGCATGGCCCATGCTCCGGTACGAATGGGTCCAGATGGGTGCAGAAAACCGTGAAATAACCACATCATTGTATTGCCGTGTCACCTTGTGAGTACGGTTAATGGCCAGAAGACTGGCCACACACACGTGGCCCCTCTGGTGTTGCGATTGTCCATGGGCGGCAATTAAAAAAAGAAGATAAATTGAAATAATAATGAAACTTCTGGACTTATACACACAAAGACCCTTTGCTTATTTATTTCTTTCGTAAACACTAAAGGCTTATGGTACCATATTCCGGTCTGAGTGAATTATAGCTTTAATAAAATTACTATTAATATTTGTATAAGTTTTACCCACCTTCAGAAAGCCTAGTAGCTCCCGCGGAATCTTTAACATTCTCAGCTTTCGTTTCCAAATAAGCATTTTCACTTTCATACTTAAAAGCCAAATGCTTGTCACTCCAATCTCTCTCCAACCAATTTTTCGAAGCAACATTCATATCCAGTTGATACTCAATGTCCCTGAGGAGGTCCCTATGCAGCTTTTTAACATTTTCTATCAACGCTGACTCGGTAAATAAATCTTCTTGAGGTTCATCATAAATCAAATCAGATTGCATACGCATTCGTCTAAGATCTAAACATTCTTCGTTTATATATTCCGGTATTTTCAAAGTGTCCATTGCATTTTTTAATTGTTGTCTCAGAGCTTCGAGTATATTGATTTCTGCATCCATATCTCTGATAGCTCTTTCAAGTTCGGCTTTCCAATAATTAATATGCCTTGCCCTGTGTCTCAATTGATCAGTACTGTCACTAAAGTCTTCGCATGACGTGTGATTGACTTTGATAATGCTGTTTTTGGTGATGGCAGTGTTTTTGTCGGTTGTCTTTATAATGTCGCCTTTTAAGACCATTTGGTTGTGTTCGTGCCAAGTTTTTATCGTTGATAGTCCGTTGTTTCTGTCTCCGAATGAGAGATAGTCGCCTTTCTCAGCTGTCGTCATTTTGGCTTTGTTTTTTTCTTCGATTCTTCTCAAGCGTTTGATGGTATTTGTTAAATGAGGTATACTTGATGACTTGATCAATATTTCTGGGTCTTAAAAATAGTGAAATTTTTGACTGTTTAAGAATGTTTTCGTTCTTTAAGCAGTACACTAGTGAATGATTTACTTAGGAAGTGGTTATTGAGTAAACTCTTTCGTTACCATGGTAACTCACAGTTACTATGGAGTTGACCTCATTATTTTTGTTTGCAGCCTTAATTATTTTTTTATTTATTTCATTCCAAGTGTTTACATTGTTTATTGCGACTGCACAATACAGAGTTTTAGGGTTACAAAGTATTTTTAAAGATTTTGTAATTGACGTAGGTACTTGTCACTAATTATGTACCAAAAAGTAGGTACATACTTATACTGAATATTCCCCATCGCTTTTTTGTGTAGTAACTACCGCGACATATAATAAATTTTCTGAAAAAAACTATTTTATAATCAGCCCGTTTCCGCCTTCTGCTGGATAGGTTGGCAAACGAGCAGATGTATTACTTGATGGTAAGCAATCAGCGCCACTCATGGGCATCCGAAACACCAGAGGAATTACAAATGCATTTAGAACCGACAAAAACACTGCCATCACCAAAAGATTCCCAAATTAACCAATAAATTCCCTAAAAGTACTTATTTCTTTGTGACATGTGACTTTTTTGTGGTTTCAGAATAACAGCGTTGGCCGGACATGACGATGTGAAGAGAGACCTAGTGAAAAGTGGCATCGTCCCCGTTGTAGTCTCGATACTTTCTAGACATTCGGTGAGTTTTTTTACAATAACTTATAACATTTTTTAAGGGTAATAACTATCGTCACTGTACCGCGGCTCCGGCTCTAAACAGGAAAAGGAACGGGGTGGTTTTAAGTCAGTAAGAGTCTGACAGTCACTCTCGTCCAATCGATGAGGCGAGAGTCAGAGGACTTCTTTCGCCTTGGCCCTTCCAAGGCTTGATGAACCCCCTCCAAAATGTAGAGAAATGGACCCCTCCCCCCCTGAGGTACAAATATGTATGCAGTTATCTGCATAGGGGGATCCTTTTCTCTGCAGCTGAGTGTATCTGCATAGTTGCCCCAAACGTTGCAACGTGTCGCGGATTTAATTCTTGCATGTATTCTTTTTTTGCTCGGTTTACAAATTGTTGTTTGGTATTGGTTTGGGTATGTGATGTGTACGTAATATTTTATGCTTGTTTCTCTTCAAGCTCGGAGCAGGAGTTGAAACGGTTGACTTTACCAGAGGCCCAATCGTTCTTCCCCTCCTCTAATCACTGAATCTTTGAAACCCTTATACCCAAAAGGCCAGCAAAGCACTCGCAACTCCTCTGGTGTTTCTGATGTCCATGGGCGGTTGCCGACCTTTTGGGGATTAGGGACTTGGGATTTGGAGATTTAGGGATTGTAGGAGGGGAAGGATTGGGCCTTCGGTAACCTCACTCACCCGTCGATACACAACGTTGTAGTTGTTTCACACCATTTTTCTGTAAGGCCGTGGTATCACTCCGGTCGAGTCGACCCGTTTGTGCCGAAGCTTGGCTCTCCCATACTTGACACGTGATACTCTACAGAATAATATTAGACTGCCACGTTTATAAAAAATGAGACCCTACCTTGGCAATCGGCTTAAAATTGTAAACTATGATTATTATTATTATTTCCAGAACAATGCAAACGCAACAGCGTTGACACTCAAATGTATAGCCGCGCTGTGTCTCCGCGAGCCGACGCATGGCCAACAGTTCATAGATAGCGGCGCGCCTGAAGCTATAGTGGAATGTATGAAGGTGCATCCTGATAACGCTAGTGTGCAGGTTTGTAGATGGAATATTTTGTGTGAAACTATGTGATTCTGAAAAGCGAACAGACCTGTCTGTGGTGATACATGTGCCAACAGGGCAGAGTTCAAACGCAATAATGTAGGTACGCGGTTTCGGCTACGAACAAGAGAAGGAACGGGTGGAAGTCAATAAGAGTTTGACACTTCGTCTCATCATACCCTGGCCGAAAGAAGTAGTATGATGCTTTTCTCCTTTCAAAAATACTCTACTGAAGGTTTGAAATCTATAAGCTTTTGACGCGACACGCGACGCCAGCACAGTAATTAATATACAGGGTGTAAAAAAACACTTAACGAAGCCGTTAACTACGCATACTGCAGTTCTAACTAAGTAGCTTTACGCTAAAATTATCACTGGGAAACGACTTTTATTTTTGCGCGCAATGTAAAGCAAACGGGTTTCGTGTCATTGTGAGCGTAGGTTCACAGCTTAGCATTAAAACGCCGTGATAAGTACGTAGGTCGACGTTTTACTTCACAACAACAAAACAATTCTGTAAAATAAAAATCCTACTGAGATGCACAATGTTTTTTGTGCGGGTCTGCATTTATTTATTACGTACATTACTGTTCGTAACTTCAAATGCGTAATTTATTTAGAAAAATTGAAAATTCAAGTAATGTTTGTTTGAAAAAAAAAATTGTAATAATACTTAGAATTCGATTGAGCAAAAAAAAAAATTTAAAAATGCATCTTTGACCTTCAATATCTCGAGAACCCGTGGAGTCCCAGCTATGGTCTTAAAGAAAAAAATGATCCAAATAATGGGTAGAATACGTGGCTTTCGGTTCGTTAAGTGTTTTTTACACACTGTATGTCCGTCTTGAAAAGCGACCTTTCTTGAGCAGTGCATGCAGTTTTTAACCTTTTGACCGCCATAGGCGGCTATGGACGACAAACGACAAATTGGCTATTTCGCAAATGTCGAGCATATCCGACCAGAAAACGTCATAATTGAGTATATCGTCTCATCTATAGCCGACCATGATAGAAGGTTAAATACTGTTATTCATGTCAAAATTAGATGGTGGTTTGTGTGCGTCAATATAATTGAGTAATTTGAATGTCCCTATTTATCTGACGCTGACTGTACAATAAAACTAACTATAGTATTTGCTCTCAGTTGTTATTAGTCTCAATAAATAACAGATGCATGTGTATTTTTTTTCTAATTTTACAGAAAAACGCTTGCTGGGCCATCCGAAACATGGTAGCGAGATGTCGCGATCAGAATGTGAAATTCCACGAGTTAGGTGTCGAGTCTATACTCAACGCGGCCTACGAGAAATTCGCCAACGATTTTGGTTTTGATATTAAGTCTGCTTTAAGAGATTTGGAGTGTGATGTCAAATTAGATGAACAGTGGACCGGCCAAGGGGTCCAGTTGGAGTATTGATAGACTATCCTTAGACAAAAGTCTATTTATTCACCTGCCTACTAATATATTATTAATGTGATCATCACCATCGAACTATTGAGGAAAAAACACAATTAATTGTTACGGCTTACATAAAATTTTCGAGCAAAGCTCAACCAATTTCAAGTCACACCGGGGCTCTTATGAGTGCGCTCGGTCGACTAGTTATGACGGAATTACGTATTTTTGCAATTGTTTAATAATAATATTGTGAAAGTTTTGTATGTATGTTTGTAACTGTACCACGTAAAAATTACTGCATTTGTATTTATATTAAATTTGGCACAGGATGATTGTTTGAAATAACACATAATGATATGTTTTTTACTTTCATATTGTTTATTGCATTCCATAATGTACCTACATGAGGTAGCTGAGAAAGTAACATTAAAAATAATTTTATATCACAATTCGCCTATTATATTTGTATGCAAGCTTTAAATTTAGGACTATATGCCTTTGAAATATACTTTTTCTAACAGTGAAGCGATGAATTTATTTCTGTAAATAGGACATAAAACAGCACTTTTATAAAATATTAAAAAAATCAAGATGAATCCGGCTTTTCCTATCTGACTGCTAAGAGAAAAAATGTCGAAACAAACTAAGATATCACAGTATTTTAGTTGTTATAAAAAAATAGTTTTTTTTACATTATGACAGCGTTTTCGGTAATATTCTTATTTTTTTTTTGAGATGCACATCCCTTTATTCTGGTTTGTTTTTTTTTTATATGCAGTGGCGATTACGTGTTTTACATAAAAAAACAAATACCTATACACAAAATAATATTCAATTGGATTCATAGTTTCCTTCCCCTGTCCCTAATTCTCCGAAACCGTAATCCCCAAAAGTTCGGCAACGCATTTGTAACTCGTTTCTCGGTTGTGATAAAACTTATTTTTATATTGTTGCATTAAGTTGAAATAACGTATTAATATCAATGTCTCTTAATTAAAGGAGAAATATTCAAATGTAAGAATGTATCGTCTAGTTTTCAAATAAGCCCCTTGTTATAGATGTAGAGGGCATGACTAGCACAGGTGTGTGCTAACACCGTCTACGTCTGACGTACTGACTGGAGAACTGGTAGCTGCGCGAAAATAGTACTTTATGCTACAAGTGTTAAGATGCCGATGACAGTAATCATTAATACGCACGTGTATCATACGACGTTTTTCAACACACTTCTGAATAAAATAATACTTAAATGAATGCCAACAAAAGATAAAACGGGATGAGTTGTGAAAATTTTTCGTAATGGCGGGAAAACGACGTTCATCAGCCATAGACTTAAAAAATGAGGTTTTTTTTCCTAATTGTCGCGAATAGTATTTTAGCGCAAGTGTAAGCGTAACTCAACCAATAATATAAAAAAACGATTAAACACTTGTGAATAATAGTATTGAAAAAGTCAGTTTGATTAAAGGTGTCATTTTGTGCCTAATTGCCGTGAGATTAGAGCCATTTTATGAGGAAGTGTGTCGAAAAACAGCTTTTACTACTACTAGACTCTTTGGAAACCATGGATAGCCACTAAGGTCTTCGGTTAATTTACTATTGAATGACATGAGTACCGCCGCATGGCGTTCAATGGATCACATACCTTTTCAATTTTATTTCCGACATATCAACTTCAGAGGCATTGATCCAGCAGTGGACGGAATCAGGCTGCTAATGATTTTTTCGTCAGGGGAAAATCATCATATGGCTTCTCCCGCCCAGAGTAAGGCGGGAGAGTGTCAGACTCTTACTGACTAAAAACACCCCGTTTCTTCTCCTGTCTTGGGCCAGGCCGCGGTGTCACATTACGCTTACCCCTCAACCCCGGCTGATGATGATGATATCAAGTTAAAATTAATACATGAGTAACAAAAAATAAAATAAAAAACTTGTAAAATTAATAATAAAAATATTTATTTATTTACACATTAATACCTAACACACTGTTTTTTAAATTTGTAATATAGAATAAAGCTCATATTTATGGCGACAATCTTGTGTTTTTTTTGCCTCTCATTTCTGCGATTTTTTAATTCTATATTAATTTTTGACGGACATTTTTTAGTATTAGAAAAAACATTTTTTTTTGTGAATTCCTTATTATTTTTTGTATTATTTCATATACATACAGTGTAATATACAATCAAATAAATCAACAGAGTAGTTCAACATGAATTTTACACTTATGAGTTCGGCGTCCATATATTAAGTGAGGTGCTTTTTTTTTAATTTTCTGACCCTTGTATTCAATCTAAAATGAGATTTTTCAAAAAGTGGGTTCGTTATTAGTGCGTTGGATTTTTATTAGGAACAAAATAAAATAAATGACTCCTCCAACGTAATATGAGATGAGATCCTCTCTCCTATGTAAGATTAAATTTTAATGAGATATGACTCGACGGGCGGTCGAGTCATATCTCCCCCGTTTTAGCCCTATGGACGCCTCCTAACATTATAGTCACATTTTAATTGTAACATTAACACCCGGTTTCTGAAAGGCTTGTCAACGCTAAAATTAACTAATCTCTTGTCAAGTCATCTGATTGGTTGTTGATAATTCAGTCAACCAATCAGATGACTTGACAAGAGATTAAATTGATTTTAACATTGATCGGCCTTTCGGAAACCGGGTGTAAATGTTCTAGGTTCTAAAACGGATAAATCATGATCCTTTGGATTGAGAAGATAACATTACAATCTGTATTGTAAATGCCAACGAATAAATACATAAGGATACCCACATAAGTAAATAAACGGTGTATTGAAAAAAAATGGAGTAAATTGTGTTCTATAGCATTGAAAATAAGACCTAAAATAGGTGTTTCTAAGAATTAAATTATCCTGCTATATTAGGTTTATGAAATGCATGTTTCTTAAAATTGTATATATATACAATTCTGAACTCTATGTGTATAGACATACTGGTGGGTTTGGTGTAAAAATAATGTCATTTAACTATTGGTATGGTAACAACTACAAAATACATTAAGTAGAAAAGTGTAGAACTAAGATTTAAAATATCTTAATGTATCTTATAAATTTCAACTCTATAACATTGGAAAAATGGTCACATGGATAGCATAATGAAAATGTACAATACCAAAGTATGCGATTATTAGCCTTACAGCAATAGAAATGAAAATCCAAAAGTTCTAAACACATATTTTCAATAAAATAATTTGTTTATTTTTGCAGTAGACTCATATATCGGTAGAATAACTGGGTTTTTGATTAGTTACTCTGTTTCTGAAAGCAATAAGGACTATAGTGCTGTGTTGCACAATATAAATACTAAAACTACAATAAAAATAAAAATACAAAATAAAAAAAAGAGAAATCTAAAACTTAGCAAAGATCTCACAACTTATAATCGACCTTATTGACTTTGTTTTAAATTATAAATTACTGGTAACCAAAAACTGTTCTTACGACAAATTTATACTAGTTTAGGCGTTAATCTTAACAATAATATACTTAGAAAATTCATCCTCATTCCAAACAGAATCCTAATCTTCTTATATATAAAAATGGATCGCAAAATGTGTTGGTAAGCGCATAACTCAACAACGCCTGGACCAATTTTGCTAATTCTTTTTTTGTTGTGTTTGTTATTGTTAGGAGAAGGTTCTTATCACAGAAAATATTAGAAAAGTAGAGGGGAACATTAGGAAAAAGTGACCCTTCGATAGGGAGATAGTTATACCCGTGCGAAGCGGGGGCGGGCCGCTAGTAATAATTACAAATGTGAAATTTGTGACAATGTATTAATGTATGTGTCTTATTTCTTCACGCAAAAACGTCTGGACCGAATTAGTTGAAATTTGGTATGTAGATAGATGATACACATAGATTACTTTTTTATTAACATACCAGGCGAGCTAAGTCGCGGGCGGAAGCTAGTAAGGCATAAATTCTGTTGAGAGAAAATGCGGCGTATAATAGTCTTCAAAAATATTAGAAAAGCAACTGAGAGCACTACTTTTTTTATGTAATAGGAGGCAAACGAGCAGACAGTTCATCGAATGGTAAGTGATCAGCGCCGTCCATTGGTACCCGTGACACAAGAGGAGTCACTTCTGTTGCAGACTTATAAAATGTTATTTAAATTTAAAATCTATCACAATCCTGTAGTTTTAACTGGTCAAGTTAACAATGACACTTTTTTATGAATTGTGTATGGAATCGCTACATATGACGGAATGAAGGCAAGTATGATTAAATTTTAATAAGTACCTAATTGCACTGAATAGTCAAAATAATATTACTAAATTGATATTATTCATTGCAGAAGAATTTCTGCCTTATTATAAAGAAATAAGGATGACATTACTTTGTATAAATTGCCGGATTGAGGGTTCAACCTTATTCACCCTGTGCTAGTATAAATTAACCATTATAGCTTTAGCATACGCAAGCGATTTTCACCTTAAAGGCAGTGACAGTAAGGTCGACTATACAAATTAATATAAAACACAGATAGATATCACTTTAATTTTTATACATTAAATGTATATGAGAATACTAAAGTTTAATGTTTTCCGTTTTGTTTACATTCTAACAACAAATAATTAGTTCTTTTGTCCACACACTCGTAGTAACTTTATCTCTTTCTTTCTTTAGTGATTAGAAAGAGACAGAATTATTGACAAACCCTGTCTGTTCTGCATAGCCCTCAATAGTACATAAAGTACATTTTTTCGCCATTAAGAGCGAGAGATCACCCCCTAAAATAGCTCGAATGGCGGAACGGAATGGAAGCGAAATTTAGTAACCAAATTGTTCAAAGCATTATAAACTTTATGTCAATTGTATAACGTACCTGTGTAGCGATGGTAGCGCAAAAGACAGTCGTCCCTCTTCCCGCGGGTATAGTAAGAACCGACTAAAGAACTACACAGCGTTCAGAGACAGGACAAAAATGATCTCAAACTCGCTGACCAAGTGACACCTGCACCACACCGCGTACATCGAGGGATTGGAACAGTTTGCCGGCTGCAGTCTTTTCGTCCGAATATAATTTAGGTGTCTTCCAGGCTAGAGTGAATAGGCTCTTAATAAACTAGTGCGCCTTACCATCAACGATTGCATCACTGCTTACCACCAGGTGGGATCGCAGTCAAGCACTAGTTTATTGCAAGTAAAAAAAAAAGTTCTGAGATTCAACAACTCTGTCATTTAAAGACCGTCAAGTGTTGTTAATAACGTCGATAACATATTATTTAAGACTATAATAATAATCTTTAATACTCTATACTACTTCCTAGTAAGAAGTATTATAAAAGGATACAATTTGTAAGTTAGTATGTAGGAGGTATTCCTTGGAACCGCTGGTCGGCTTTCACTGATAGATAGCTACAATGTTCCTGAGTGCTAAAGACTATAAATTATATTTGTTTTTGAGTATTTTAGTCGAGCTAACTTTTATAGGGGGGGGAGCTAGTACATTATATTAGACATAAAGTTCCAACGAGCCGTGGACAAACAAACTAACAGAATAATCCTAAAACATTAATAAAAACAAAAAAAATGGATAACATCCATAATTATGAAAAAATACATTCATTTTGATCATCCTACGAGTAATAATAGCCAAAAATGTTAACAGGTTAAATATCATAAGCTGTGGTTGTTTCACGCCGGTGTACTGAGAGGCCGTGGTATCACGCCGGTCCAGCTGACCCGTTCAGACCAAAACACGCCCCTCCCGAAAAATGAAAATTCATATTTTATATGTTACGCCGGCAAACGAGCAGACGGATTACCGGATGGTAAAGAAGTTACGAGGACGTTGTTGGACTTTTGGGGATTAGGGTGTTGGAGATTTGGGTTTTGAGATTGGGGAGTGGAAAGCTCGGTCCTCGTGACATTTAACCAGTTTTTTTATCTTTAACAATACATATACATAATGAATATATAATAAAAAAGTATTAACAATAACTGCAATCTACTTTGTACTGACACAGTGATATTTTACATAGGTATTGAAATATTAAATCATATTGTGCCATTATTACAATTGTACTTTTTGTAATGATTCTCCAACGACAATTATTATATCGAATGTTTTAATAGAAAATGGAACTTACTCATACGAGAAGGTAATTCAAAATTGCACCTTATTATAGAAACATAATATTTAAAATTCAAATACCTTCTTTTATGAATTAAGTTCCTTTTCTATCGAGCTAACGTTTAGTTTAGGGCTGATTTTCCAATGGTTAGATAAAATCTGGCGAATATTTTTGATGCTGTCGCGTCATAATGTTTGTATAAGACAGTGACAGCAACAATTTTATTCCTCAGATAACATTTATCTGACTATTGAAAAATCAGTCCTTAAAAAAACTTTATTCTATTATTCCAAGTTTTATCAACAATACATAGAATTTGTATACATTATTGTAATAATATTACTTTTAAATATATATTAATTACACCAACCTTAACACGTGAACTCCAGTGACCTATGGCTAGGAAGGATTTGCCTTTTTATAGTTTTACTAGCTACTACGCGCGGTTTCACCCGCTGCTCAGCTCCATTTCATCGTAGCGTGATGTTTTATAGCCTATAACACTCAGGAACATTTTAGCTATCTATCAGTGAAAGAACTTTGGCAATCCGACCAGCGGTTCCAAAGATTACCCCCTACATATAAACTTACAAATTTTACCTCTTTATAATATTAGTATAGACTTCTACAAAATCCTTTGAAAGTAGTTAAGTGATTAGAGAATAATACCATTTCATCAGTTAAGTTAGAAGATCTATGTAATCTATGCTAATATTATAAAGAGGTATACTTTAGGGGGTAGTCTTTGGAACTTCTGGGCCTCGAGTCTGCTATTACAATAGTGTCAGAATAGTAGATCATTGGTTTCAAAATTGTTAATTTTGACAAGTTTCGTAATCTACTAACACGATAGCGGCATTATGACTTTCCAATGACCAACCAATGCCACTTTATTGAAATAATTCTTTAGAACGGTAGTCTCGTACATAATGACAAATGAATATTTGAAATAATGCGGTAAATTAATAAAAAATGTCAGTTCCTTTATTCAATGATTTACGTTTAAAATATTAATGTGCAGTTATTGTTTATAATTCGTAACAAGACATCTCGTACGATAATTCTATTACGACATCGCCGAACGCCAATGATCAGCCATTTTGAATTAACAGGTTACGAATTTTGGCAAAATGTCAATGGGATCGTGTAGGAATGACAACACTTTGAAAATAGTAGACTTGGGCCCCTGGTCGGATGTCCAAAATTCTTTCACTGATAGATAGCTCCAATGTTCCTGAGCGCTGTAGGCAAAACATCACCCTACGACCAATAGGGACAGAGTAACGGGTGAAACCGCGTGGCAATGGCTTGTATGGTATAAAGCTAGTCCTTTTTTAAATGAAATTAACATAAGTAAACTAATATATTCCAATTTTTATTTAAAGAAATGGATATAAACCTTTTTTGATAAAAATGGTATTAACATTAATTTGAAAACTGTTTAGAACGTTAACAGAGCGAGATCACGTACAAAAATACCATCCAATACTAAACATATACACTTGGTCTTAGTGATTTAAAACGCCAGTGGCGACATCTAGAGAGCGCGAAAATTTCACATCGAAATTCTACGAGTGAGACATACTAATATAGATTTAATAAGTACAAAGAATAAGGTTTAAAAAAGAATGTCAGGACATTCTGTACTTCTTGGCTTTCTCTAAGAAAGTATCATGATTCCATTTGTTATAATGAATAATTTTTCTTCCGTTCATAATTGTGTGTACCATTATTTTCTCGTTGTAGTTTAAGTTTGCTAGTAGCTGTAAAGAAAACATATAAATATGTTAAAATATATTATTAATCGCCCCTTTACAAGCAAAACAAACGAATATAGATTTTATTACTACATAAAATAAGGTTTATAAAAGAATGTCAGAGAATTCTGTATCCCTAAGCTTTCTGTGTCATAAAGATTAAGGGCTGATTTTTCAGTGGTTAGATAAAAGTTACCTGGGGAACAATTATGATGCTGTCGCATCGGAATGTTTGTATAAAACAGTGACAGCAACAGTTTTATTCCTCATATAACATTAATCTGACTATTGAAAAATCAGCCCTTACACAAATTAATTTAGACCTTAATAACAACGGTTGATAGAGCAAATTCACGTTTTGGTGGTAAAGTTATGTTTATGAAGATGTAGTACAATTGAATAAGGTGAAATAAGAAACATATATTTTATCTGGCACTTAGGTTAGGTTAGGACAAAGAGAAACAAAACTACTTTTAGTTATCAGATAGTCATTTAGAAAAACGGTTAAGAAGATCTAACAGGTTAAGTACCCCCCCCCCCTCCCAGTCTAGGATTTGCTCCTTTGTCGTGGGTGCGGTTACGAATATACAAATTCATATACACATGGCATCCAGACCCGGAACAAAAATTTGTAGGTCACACAAAGAGATGCGGGAATCGAACTCGCGACACAGCAGCCAGTTGCCCAGCGCATCAACCGATTTATTTGAAGAGCAAATCTAATATGCAATGTAGTATTTTTAGTGGTAATTTTGATTATGTTTGTTAGTGTTACAATAAAACCCTATTATTATTGTGATGTAGGTAATTCTATAATTTATATTTATAAAATAAGTGGGTATATTAAACCTTGCATGTGTGAGCCAGTCTCTCAATAAATCTGTTACGCAATTGACGTGGTTTCACTGTAACCGACTTCCCGGGGTTCCCAGTGTCCAGATATTCTTCAATTATGATTTTTATTTCTTACCTTAGGCGTCAACAAGAAGTATTGCGCGTTGTCCGATTCTGTGGTCACCTTGACGAGCAATTCGAACATTTTTCGCTCGTTTATAGCGTCCATGCCTTGGTTTATCTCGTCCACGCATCTAGGAAGGAAACATAATCAAAATTAATATTTTAAATTAGCTGTTTGTAGTCCATGTTAACCGGGGAATGATTAGCTTGACAACAATGAAAGTTTTTTTTTTTAAATCGGTCAGATATTTTCGAAGTCGATTCAATCCAAACAAACAAACATTTTCTCTTTATAATAATACCATTGGTAGCAAGTACCAGTGTCACTTTTTCCGAGTTTAATGTATTTTCTATGATTAGTTAGACACCACTGACATACGGTGAAAGAAAACATCGTGAAGAAACCTTATAATTTCTAATTACAAGTTTGAAATCGCCAACCCGCATTGAGCAAGCGTGGTGATTAATGCTCTAACCTTCTCCGTGAGAAGAGGCCTTTGCTCAGCAGTGGACACATATATGCTGATGATGATTTAATTACATTAAATTAACATTTTTTTATAACTTTCGTGAGACATTCTAAATTATTTATTCGCGTGTCGCGGAATGCTGCTCATGAATATGGGCCTCTAGCATGGCTTGAAACTAGTCGAGTATCTCGTCAAATTATTACGTGAGTAAGCCGAAAACATATTAAATACAATAAACATTTATTAAAGAACTCAACTTACCTAACTAACACATCTTTCTTACAAAGCGTTTCTTAACATTTTCAGCATGTTGAAACCTTTTTTATCGTGTTAGGTATCGCATGACGGCGAGCAAAGGTAGCTGGCAAAGTATTCTGTAGAATAAATTCTCAAAAAACTCGACCAATATTTACCTGAACGGTACAGTAGTTAATCTTTGCAATGCCATTAGATACAACGCAGTGGACAAAGCTCGCTCCCCGCCGGACTGCGTGTGTCGAGTCAACTGTTGCAACTGCTCCGATTCACGGAATTTTACCAGTATTGAGATTCCATATTTGTCGTAGTCATCCTGTTAAAAAAGTCTTTGTCAGTTTTTATTGTTTTTTATGCTAAGTGAGATTTTATTCAAACTAATATTATAAATTCGAATGTAACTCTGTCTGTCTGTCTGTCTTTTCTTCACGCCTAAACTACTGAACCGATTTGGTACAGACATAGTTTGGTACTCGAGAAAGGACATAGGATAGTTTTTATAACAAATTCTGCAGGAAGTCACTATTCCACGCGAACGAAGTCGCGGGCAAAAGCTAGTTAAATATCACATCAACTAAATCAGTTACAATGTCAAACATAGAAAGTATCAATTGGTACGATGAAGTATTATTGATACTGGAATGTTTAAAAAAAATACTTTTTCAAATATCGAACATTTGAGCTGTCTTTTTTCTCATAAATATTTTGTTTTAAGTAAAATGTAATCTTTAATGAGGTAACGATTAGATTGATGGTCCTGGGACGCGCCGGACTTCAGTGTTCCGGTGTTTTCATGGTTGTATCTACTGTAGATCCTGGCTTGCAGGAATTGGGTAGTTTCCAGGTCAAAAATAAATTAATTCGAGGTTTCAATACAATAAAATATTGAAAATAACTATACTTTTATTCATCAATCGATCGATACACAAAATTTGAGATATTTTTTAACTATTTTTTCAGAAATAAGTAAACTATTTAAACTAAGCGTTTCATACAAATTTCAAAGAAAAGTATCGTTTTAGACATTTCGATAAAAGTATTGAATTTGACTACTTAGAAACTACCGTATTGCAGCGGTTTTGGGAGGTTGACGCGGGCTTATCCCAGAAAACAATATCAACCAACATTTTATATATATTATTTATTAATACTTACATCATCACCGGCCTTCTCGAGTTTAATTTCACCGGCGCAGCCCAATTTCGCGAACATATCGCCGAAACTCCTGTCGATATCGCGGAGCAAATTCTCTAAGGGCGGCAACCATTGTGACCTTTGTAAGATACAAAAAAAAAACAAATTTTAAATCTCTCTTCTCATCAGTCACATAAATTTGTTAAAGCAATGCTTTGGCACGAATGATACTACGGCCTCAGAGAAAACAGGCGTAAAACAACGGCGAAACACAATGCTGTATGTTTCGTCGTTTGAGTGAGATCAACAAAGTTACCAATTCTTCCCCAACTATATCTCAAAATTTTCAAAACCGCTTATCCCCAAAAGGCTGACTGCCGGCTCACCTGATCTGAAGCAAGTAAGCAACGGATGTCCACGCCCGCAACACTAAAGAACTTACAAAGGCGTTGCCAACTTTGCTTTATTATTAAAACGATGACTTCTCCCGCCCTGATTTAGGCGAGAGAATCAGACTCTTACTAACTAAAAACCATCTCATTTCTTCTCCTACTCCGATCCAGCCCCTAGGTATACTATTAAGCTTGCACCCATAACCTCGGCTGATGGAGGTAACATATGGGGATTATGGAGATTCTAGACTACTTACTTTATAGCAGCCATCTTAGTTTCAAGTGACTTGGTCATATCACTGGAGTTCATGTCTTCAGATCTAAGCCTGGCTATCATCCTCTCTCGTTCTTCATATTCTTTTATGACCTGTAAGTACAAAAATTTACTATGAAAAATTATAAAGATTATTGCTATGATTACAAACATACTTAGGAATTTTATTAAGCTGCAAATTGCCAATAACATTTAAACAGTGCCGGAAATTGAACCTCAGAACCAAAGAGGCTATCTAACTAAGAATAATAATTAAAATTTTACCCAAGTCTTGGTAGCTTGGAAGTGAGACCCCTACATACCCATAAACATGGAGGGGATCGAAACCTGGTAAGGACCAATGCGACTTTTTCCAAGTCATGTGTACTTTCTAAGTTTATTTAGACGTCGCTGACAGACGGAGAAGAAAAGCTAGACTTATACAAACTAAAATTACCAACTATAAAATTAAAATCACCAATCCGCCTTCAGCAAGTGTGTTGATTTAAACAAGGCTGTAAGCTGTTACCTTATCCGTGTGAGAATAGGGCTTTGCTTAACAGTGGAAACGTCTAAACTGGTATACAAAAAACGCGCAACCCATGCCCCAGTTTTATTTATTTAGGATCTCCAACAAAGGATATACACAAATCATGTAAAAATGGACATCAATATTATCGCGAAAGTTGAGTACACCATCACTTACAGGAGACCACAGCATGCATACAAATTACAACTTAGCAAACGATATTAAAAAGTTTAAAATAATAATAATACAATTTAAACAAAAGCATTTTGGGCTAACCTGTTCATCTCCTTTATCCATAAAGTCGACTTTGGTCTGCAACTCATAACAATGTTCTTGCAGTCTGGTCAAATCGCTCGGTAATTCTGCAAATTCCTTTTTGTAGGGAAAATCTTTATCTTCTGGTAATTTATTCCTGCAACTCTTCTTAGCTTCTAGTAACTTCTCTTTGGCATCTGACTTCGCTCTGGTCAGTTGATTGTCTATGTTTTCTAGGGTTGCCTGTGAATAAAATGATATAAACTGGTTTTAGTGGTATTTAAGAGTAAAAGAATTTACACTTGTAAGTCCTCAGTTCTTGCAGATTTCATAGATTTTTTCTATCCATCCATCTAGCCAGAAAGAGCCATGCTTCGGCACGAATAGGTCGGCAAGACTAGAATGGTACTAAATACGGCCCTACAGAAAACTGGTGTAAAACAACTACAGCGTTGTGTTTCGCCGTGTGCTGGAGGCCCAAGTCTTCTTCTTCTTCTTCAAGTCCCCTCTATCCCAAAATCTCGAAAACGCTAATCCCCAAAAGGCTGGCAAAACTCCTTTGATGTTGCGGAAGACTGGGCGGCGCCGATTGCTTACCATCAAGTAATTCGTTGGCTCTTTTGCCGGCCTAACATAAAAAAAACTTGATTATCAGAGCAGTCATATAAAAAAATACTATTTATTTATTTGTTTGAGGTTAACCAACAACTGTTTACACATTAACTGACAAGCTCAAAAACTGATAAGCTGACAAGTTATATGTAAACCTACACTTATGTAACAATGGATACTGAAAAACATCTTACCTGTACATTTCTCAATTCCGACTTCAATTCTCTTAGTTGATTTTCCTGGTCTACTATGCCATCTCTACAGATTCCCAGTTTTGCCTGCAAAAATGAAATAAAGTTTTATGAGTGTCGTGGTAGCCTGGAGGTTAAGGCGCCCGCTTCTCATGCATGAGGGTGGCAAGTACCAATGTCTACTTTCTGTACGGGCCTGCGGTCGGCGAGTAAGGGCAGCTCGCCGCCCGACCAGAAATAGGCCCGAGCGTACGGCGCGTAGCGTTCCGCGCGCGCCTCAAAGAGCCATTCGACCACCACAGACGGGGCCCTAAAGGGCTGATGTTCAGCCGGGGTTGCGGGGTAAGCGCAATGAGGCACCGCGACCTCGGCACAGAGCAGGAGAAGGAACAGGGGGGTTTTTAGTCAGTAAGAGTCTGACACTCCCTCCCGCCCAGCCCTGGGCGGGAGAAGTCATTTGATGATTTTCCCCTCACAAAAAAAACCTACTTTCTAGGATTATTTAGAACACCACTGACTTATAGTGAAGGAAAACATTGTGAGGAAACCTGGACTTATAATATCTAATTATAAGTTTGAAATCGCCAATTCGCCTAGAGCAAGCGTGGTGTGCTCAAACCTTCTCTGTGTAAGAAGATGCCTTTGGGCAATTGATGTGATATCATGAAGTATAACATAGGATGGAATAATATCATGAAGTATAATAGGATAACTTAATGCCCGGTGGCATTCTCTGACAGTCGACCAGTGGTTGACGCAGATATGTATAACGTCAAAAAGTGTTTGAACTATTATTAATTTAAAGTTTTAAATAATTTGTCAATAAAATATAATCATAAATTATATTTAGACTAGCGAACCGACCAGCTTCGGACATGTGGAATACTGATACTAAATTTCTCCACTATTTAATGAATGTTAAACCTGCCTCTTCAAATCACTATATCCATTAAAAAACCCGCTGCGTAGTTTGACAGATATAAGCATACATAAGGATATAGGGACAGAGAAAGCGACTTTGTTATATACAGTGATATTGAAACCTGAGGTAATAAAGGTAATATTGAAATTATTTATTTTGGCAATCCGATTCACAATGTCCACCTACGTGTGCTGAGAGATTGTCTCGGATTGTCTCGGTGATTGAATGATAGCTGGAACAAGTTCATGAGTCGATTTTTAAATTCTCAATTTATGCAATCGAACGTGCTTACACAGGCATTTAACACTTTAAAAACAAAAAAATCGGTAATAATTTATTACACTTCTCAGAGTCTCAGAACAGGTTTTATCCTCAATTAGTGTATTTTTTCTTATGTTCTTAACAAAGTGTTTAGGTAACAATAGTACTTTATCGCTGCTGCGTTAAAAACACAATACGTACTTCTATAAAGGAAAATTTTATAACCTTTTTAAAACAAGAAAACGTAAACGTCGAAAAGCAAAAAACATATAATAATAACTAGCTTTAGCCCGTGGTTTCGCCCGACGCGCCGTAGTATTTTGAAAAAGCAGCCCATAAGTTAATCCAGGCTAGACCACATATCTACATATTTCCAGATTCGAAACAACAATTTGTGGATCACACAAAGAGTTCGATGTATCGAACCCGCGACACCTTGCACGACAGCCAGTTGCCCAGCCACGGCGCCAACCGTGCAGTCAAGTGGAACATAACCCATGAGATATTGAAGTTACGTCAGAATCGTCTCCTTAAGACGAGAAACAAAAAAAGTTTTTATGCATCTCAAAAAATATTGATTATAATCCGAAAAAGCAATAAATGAAATTGAAATTTCAAACCGGTACTTTTGGAAGGGTATGATAATTTTGCAACATCATTTAGGTCGAGTTCATACTGATAGGTACAAAACAAAAAAACTCTAAATTTGAATTAACGATGGAGTTTCTTACTTCTTATTTCAAAAAAATCGCTAGGGTGGGGCGGAAGTGAGTGTCAGACTCTTACTGACTAAAAAACCCACTATTCCTTCTCCTGCTCTAGGCCGATGCCGCGGTGCGTCATTGCGCTTACCCCGCAAGCCCGGCTAAACATCAACCCTTTAGGGCCCCGTCTGTATAAAAATAACCCCTAACAACTTATAAAAGGCCGGCCACGTACTTAAACTCTTTTGGTGTTACTATTTGGGTGTCCACGGGCGGCGCTGATTCCTTAACATAACGCTATCCATCTGTTCATTAGCAAAGCTATCCAATAAAAAAAAAACATTAAGGTATTGAACTTCGGTCGTTGTGGCCCGGAGTTTTTGTGTGCGAAACCTGGAAAGTACCAATGTGCACATTTCCCGAGTTATATGTACTTTCTATTACTATTTAGACACCACTGACACACAGTGAAGGAAAACATCGTGAGGAAACCTGGACTATAATTTCTAATTATGAACTTGAAACCGCCTATCCGCTTTGAGCAAGCATAGTGATTAGCAAACCTTTACCGTGTGAAAAGACGCCTTTGCTCAGCAGTTAGCACTTATAGGCTGATGATGTGGTTAATTTTGATAAGGTGCAATGCGAAAGAACCCTGATTATACATATGAGAACATTTCGCCAACAATTCAACTAAACATGTGAACAAATCTTTACATAAATTCAAAATACAACATATCGTTCATTCGCTCATGCCTTTAAAAACGGTAGTCGGTTGCGTCATGTAATTATATGAAGATGGACTGAAGAGCGGTGCGGATTGAGGTTCTTCCAAGTGATTTGTGTTATTTGAAAGATTGTTACAGTACGTAATAAATGTAACATGGATATCCCACCATTGGTTAGACAGGTAAGCTAATTTCTATACAAGTGAACTGCGCTTATTGTTTCGTGGTGGTCTGGAAAGTCTGGAAAGTGTGGGAGAGCCAAGCTTCGGCACGAATGGGTCGGCTCGGCCGGAGTGATACGACGGGCTCACAGAAAACCGGCGTGAAACAACCACAACAGCGTTGTTTTTCGCCATGTGAAAGAGGTCCAATCTTCCCACTCCACAAATCAAAAATATCAAAAAAAAATTTTGGATTTTGGATTTTTTCAGCAACGCACTCATAGCTTCTCCGCTGCAAAATAGCAATCAGCGCCGCCCTTGGACCCCCCCAAGGGTGGCGCTGATTGCTTATCATCACATAATCCGTATGATAGTTTGCCGTTCTATCACATAAAAAATAATCTCTCATGCATGAGGAAGTTTGAAACCAGACAATAACTAATGTGACTTTTTTCGAGTTATATGCACTTCCTATGATTATTTAGACACCACAGACATACGGTGAAGAAAAACATCGTGAGAAAACCTGAACGTATCATTTCTAACTATAATCAAAATAATTTCTGTTTGTAATCGCCAATCCGCTTTGAGTAGGCGCGGTGTTTAATGCTCAACTGAGAAGCTTCTTCATATGAGAAGAGGCATTTGCTCAGCAGTGGGCACATATAGGGTGATGATGTGATATGTAAACATTGAATAACAGGCTACTCTATATTCTTGGTTTATTTTTTATTAATTTATTTATTTCTTAGTTTATAGTAGCGGGCTCCTGTCACTTGGCTGCGCTGACGGCGGGCGGTGTGGTGTCATACCCGGGAGTTCTATTACAACAGTTGCGGTCTAATGATACTACCATTCACCTCGACTTGGACAATGGATCGTGGATTGGTGAGATTGCCTTTTGTTATTTATATATTTATTGAAATTAAAAGGCCTATTCATTAATTGTATTTCCGGCGTAGGTAGTAAGGGAAAAATGGTGATCCAATAAACTATGTTTGATGGGGCTTGAAATGCATATGATCAAATCAAAATGTTGCAAGTATTTCTGTCCCTGTGTCACTACATCTTCTTTATATATAAAAATGGATCGCAAAATGTGTTGGTAAGCGCATAACTCAACAACGCCTGGACCAATTTTGCTAATTCTTTTTTTGTTGTGTTTGTTATTGTCAGGAGAAGGTTCTTATCAAAGAAAATATTAGAAAAGTAGAGTGGAAGATTAGGAAAAAGTGACCCTTTCATAGCGAGATAGTTGGACCCGTACGAAGCGGGGGCGGGCCGCTAGTACCTAGAATTTAACAAAGTCGCCTTCTCTATTCCTATATGTATGCTTGTTTCGTTTCTAGTTTCTGGCAGAGGTACTAGTGTAAAAGTACCTCAAGACTCCGTTCAGTATTTTATACGTGAAAGAATCACAGGCATCCATCCGTCCAAACTTAAAATCATGTATTTCAATTAGACCCTTACAGGCACTTAACGCCTTAAAGATATAAAATGTCAGTCTGTCGGTCAGTCCTCTCAGTGAAGTTATTTGTTCGTTCCAAAGTGTAGATTCCGATGGAAAAGAACGAGTAAGAAACTCCATAGTTACTCTTTTTAAATCAGTTTCACAAACAGATTAATTGGTACCTTATCAAGTTGGTTCGATTATGTTAGAACACTAATACAGAGAAATAGAAAAGATAGCGTTAAGGACAATCTATCACTGCGAAGTTGAAACTAAGCAAAAGCGATCGAACTCATCGAACCAAACTAGAGGTCCTAGTCATATCAACAACATTTTCTCACAGTTAACATTGGAAAAACGCGGAAAACGCTAAAGTTAATAAAAAAGATTCGAAAAACACGACATTCTTAGTTAAAAAAATAAAAACGAACATAATCTAGTATTTACAATACTCTTTTTTTCAGGCTCTGTGCACGGCCTAGCTGGGATTCCAAGCTTCCTAATGCCATTCCTCATGCAGTACCAAGGACGAAAATTCACATTTATACTAAGCTGCGTATTAATCATTATAGGATGGGCTTTCACGTATGCTGCCAACAATCTACTGACTCTAATCATTGGAGAATGCTTCCATGGGCTTGGCGGCCATAGTTTATTAACGGTCAGCTTCTTAAGCATGTCCGAAATGATCCAACCGAAATATAGAAACATTTCTTTGCTACTCTACGGCACATCTCAAGCTTTCGGAATGTCCTTTGTTGGGATTATTGGTAGATATCTGCATTGGAAAACCGCTGGTATGGTTATGAGCTGTCCAATTATTTTGGCCTTGATTTTAGGACTGTTCTGGCCCGAATCCCCTTCTTGGTTAGCTTTTAAAGGGAGATTTGAAGAATGTGAAGACGTATTCAAACGTTTAAGAGGTACGGATAAAGAATCTACGAGGGAATTGAATGCTTTGATCCACGCTCAGAAGGGTAATTTCGATTTAAGACCACCTAAAGGAGAATGGCTTAGAATACTTCGACATACTATAGTCAGTAAGGACTTCTACAAACCATCGTTTCATACTTTCATTTTATTAAGCATATTCTACTGGACTGGAGGGGCCGCTGTGATAATATATTCAAGCGATATTACACTTAAACTCACTAGTAATAAGAACGATCATATAAAATTTATAATCGACATAACTTTTTTTATAGGGTTCAGTGTGACAACGATTCTCACAAGATTCTTTAGCAGCAAAAAGGTTTTGCTGTTCAGTATGTCGGGAAGTTTCGTTTGTATGACGTTGATGAGTGTGGTAGCGTATTTACAGAATACAGATATAGTGGCAAAAGACTCAATGTTAGGTGCTTATTTCATGGTATGTTTTGTGATAGTTTTTAGCACCGGTTCAAACGGTATAGGGTTTACATTAGCTACAGAGTTAATGCCAGTAAAACATAGAGGTTTAGGAGGTTGCATATTTGTGATATGCACTTGTGTTTTTCATTCTTCCTCGTTGAAATCGTTCCCATATCTGTGTGTCTATTTGAATCTGTGGGGAGCATTTCTTATTTACGCAATTTATATAGTGATAGCTGGGGTAATTGTTTTTGTGTGTGTGCCTGACACAAGAAATAAGACTTTGCAAGAAATCGAAGAGTTTTATCAGAATGGTTGTTATAAGGAGAGGAGGTTGGTTTGTGCCGATTTAAGTGTGCGACAAAAGTTTTTGAACGATAACGGATTGTAGTATACTAGTATAGATTTATTGTGATTATATTTTTTAAAGGTAGAAATGAAATGTTTTGTATGAACACACATAAATTTTACTTCAAATAGACTATAGGTTATTTTGAACGTCAAAAAATATCTAAAAAGTGTAACTTTGTGCGAGTCAGCATTTCCTTTCACTGAAGCAAATTGCTTGATCTAAAGGGGAGATTCCTTGATTTCTATTTCAACAAATTAAAACAGTATTCTGAATTTAATTATCTGTACGCTGAAATAAGCAGATTGATATGGACATAAACCTACATGTAACGCCTCTGTGACGATATAATAAATAAATATATTACTAGATTATAATTAAAATATATGAAAAAACCAAAACATGTTTTAATTAACAGACTCGTCGAAAAACTTAGGGTTGGGCTGGCAAACGAGTTGAGGGATTACCAGATGGTAAGCAATCGGCGCGCCCGTGGATAATACCGCAAAGATTTACGAGTGTGTTGCCGTTAAGGATTGGGAAGGGATAGGGGAAGGAGGAGGGATTGAGCCTCCGGTAACCTCACTTACACGGCGAAACACAACCCTGTGTTTCGTGTGTTGTTTCACGCAGGTTGTCTGCGAGGCCGTGGTATAACTTAATTTTAGATTATTCTTAAGAAATATATACACTATTTGACGTGAAACTATTATGTCTTCATATTGTAATACCAAATACATAGTATCATTTTAGTCATTTGTATCAAAATTAGGCGGCGTGTAACGAAAATTTTTAACAGCTACAGTGATTAGCCCGGAGATTAAGGCGCTTCTTGTGCGGGTTCAAACCCTGGCAAAAACCAATGTAACATTTCCCGAATTATAAAAACTTTTTATGATTATTTAGACACCGCTGACGTACGGTGAAGGAAAGCATTGTGAGGAAACCTGGACTCACTGGGGCGATTTACGCTAAAACGTGTGAGAAGAGGCCTTTACTCATCAGTGGACACTGACAGGCTGCTGATGTGATGTGACAGTTTAGACAAACGGGACCTTACGCTACAATGGCGGCGAGTAAGGGTAGCTCGCCGCCCGACCATAACCAGGCCCGAGCGTACGGCGCGTAGCGTTCTGCGCGCGCCTCAAAGAGCCAATAGACCACCACAGACGGGGCCCTAAAGGGCTGATGTTCAGCCGGGGTGGAGGGGTAAGCGCAATGAGGCACCGCGACCTCGGCATAGAGCAGGAGAAGGAACAGGGGGGTTATTAGTCAGTAAGAGTCTGACACTCCCTCCTGCCCGGCCCTGGGCGGGAGAAGTCATTTGATGATTTTCCCCTCACAAAAAAAACGCTACAATGGCGCCATCTATTAGTATAATAAAGTAACTCACCTCCCACATGCCAGCTTTGTTCATTTCCTCGCAGAGTGTTGCGAAACAATTCTTCAGTTCTATGTGGCTATTACACTGTTTGAGTACGCAAGCTTTCTGTTTCTCTCTGGCGCGGTGTCTTTCCTGCTCGATGTCGAATGTAGCCTCTTGTTCTATATCTTCTACTTTTTTAGTTTGCACTCGTATTTGAGCTGTTATTGTTCGTACCTGTGTAAGGAAGAAGATATTAGTGTTTTAGGTTATAATTAATTAATTTACTAGCTTTTGCCCGCGACTTCGTTCGCGTGGAATGGTTACTTCCTGCAGTCTTTGGTATAAAAAGTTCCAAACTATGTCTGTACCAAATTTCACAGAAATCGATCCAGTAGTTTAGGCGTGAAGAAAAGACAGACAGACAGTTACTTTCGAATTTATAATATTAGTCTGGATTCATGCCTTCTTAGTGAACGTTGTTTTTCATTGAAGACTCGAGATCAAAGAAGTTTAAGTTTTTAGATGGAGCTTATTTGTCAATGTGAGTGTGATTCTTTCCTCAAAAGACCACTACAGAATGAACACGCACGGTTCTCTCACATTATATTATTTTTATCATTGTCTGGACTTGGAAAGAGGCAGACTTCTGAGATTGCTTCGTCATTTCTTTTTAGAGTAGTCAAATAGCTAATGCCGTCTTCATCTAGTTTTTTACATATAATTTTGACGTGTAAAAGTGTCGTTTTATAGCTAATTTGCGAAAATAAATTCATTGTTTCATTGTGGAGTAGTGCTTAATTTTTTTATTTGGGATGGCCTGGCAGGTGCCTTGTCGACTTTCTAGGAGTTATAAGGAGATGTGAGCAATAAGGTATATGCCAATAGATTCGTCTTCCTTTAAACGGTGTTAATATGTGATGGAGAATAAATGATACAGTTCTTTTTTGAAAGGCAAAAATCATCAAATGTCTTCTCCTTGACTCTTACTGACTATAGCCATCTCATTATTTCTCCTATTTTGGGTCGTGGGCCGTGGTATATGTGAATAGGAGGCAAACGAGCGTGGTCGCCGTCCATGGACCCCTGAAGCACCAGAGGAGGCACGGGAGCGTTGCCGGCCTTTTAAAACATGTACTGCACTGCAACGTGTCGCGTTTGATTCCCGCACGGAACAACTCTTAGTGTGATCCACAAATTGTTGTTCCGAGTCTGGGTATCATGTGTATGTGAAATTGTATGTTTATAAACGCACCCATGACACAGGAGAAAATCCTAGTTCCACGAAGGATTATATTATTGACCTGGTACCCAAAACCCCGTCTACCTAGATTACCTAAATTTGTCAGTGGCACGCCGAATTCGTGCTTTATTCGGTATAAAATAAAGCACAAAATACTTACTTTCTCAACCCCCTCATTGATGGCTTTTCGTTTCATATTGAGTTCGTTCAGATCACTCTCCAATATCGATAGTTTCTTGTCAATCTCTTGTATGCTGGCTCTATGGGACTGCGCCCTTTGTTCTAAGACGGACAATCTGTAATAGAATACTTTATTAAATATATATATTGGTACTAACTTTTCTCGATGGGTAATCCGCGTAACAGACTACCTGATGGTAAGCCACAATTCTAGAGGAATTGTAAGTGAGTTCTCAGTTCTTTAAGGAAACGATGTTTTTGTGGTGCGTAGGTCAGATCACGCGCAGACAAATTGACTGGTGGTAAGGAATCGACGCCGCCCATTTTTGTAAATGGGAGGCGCATTTACAAAAATGGGAATTATACCCTTATTGTTATGGGTCCCTAGCGTGGCTCGAAACTAGTCGAGCACGAAAGAGAGTTAAAGAGAAAGTAACTAAAAAATTACCCTTGATTAACGCTAGAAATTTATCCATGTAAGAAAAGGCATTTGCTGAGCAGTGAACACTTATAGGCTAATGATTTGCAAATAAAGTGTTACAAGTCTTCAGAGTATTTATTACGTATGGTAAAAGCTAAGAGACCTATACCCATAGCGAATGATGACAAAAAGAATTCGAATGCGCGGTTGGCGCTGTGGTTGGGCAAAAGGCTGCCGCCCAACGCGTCGCGTTTTCGATTCCCACACGGAACAACTCTTTGTGTGATACACGAAATGTTGTTCCGGGTCTGAGTATGATGTGTATGTGAAGTTGTATGTTTGTAAACGCAACCACGACACAGAAGATAATCCTAGTGTGGAGCAAAACTTTGTGCAAAATAGAAATCAATTACGTACTGTTTATTAAAATTATCAATTTCTTCGACGTCGACGGTGTTCGCCAGGAGCTTTGGCGGTCGGATCTCAGTCGTAGACGTGGATTTCTCACCGCTGTACGCAGACACACGAACTGAGAACCTGTGGTTCTCTGTTGAAAATAATCATTATATAAATTTCCAGTCATACTACTTTTATTTATTAAATTACCTAAACGGTTAAGCGTGGTAATTGGTTAGTTTCGTAGTACAAAATTAAATTAATTCGACATTTCAATACAGTAAAATATTGGAAAATAACTATACTTTTATTTATCGATCGAAAAATTTATTCTTTGAAATTTTCGATACTTATAAGAAATAAGTAAGCTATTTGACTTGAAATACTATGGCGTCATAATTTGGAATATCATACAAATCTTCTTATATATAAAAATGGATCGCAAAATGTGTAGGTAAGCGCATAACTCAACAACGCCTGGACCAATTTTGCTAATTCTTTTTTTGTTGTGTTTGTTATTGTCAGGAGAAGGTTCTTATCAAACAAAAAATTTTAGAAAAGTGGAGGGGAAGATTAGTAAAAAGTGACCCTTTGATAGCGAGATTGTTGGACCCGTGCGAAGCGGGGGCGGGCCGCTAGTTTTATAAAAAAAGTATCATTTGAATTTGACTAGTTGGAAACTACCGCATTCGAGACACGTCAATCGTGATAACCGGGAACGTCAGCGGTCGCTTAGTGTTTGATGGATTACGCCCACAAACAATATTAAAAGCTTTATATACGATTTTATTATCAAAAGAAAATATATAGAATAACTAGCTTTTGCCCACAACTAAGTTAGCCCACAAATAATAGTATCTGTACCAAATTTCACACAAATCGGTTCAGTAGTTTAGGCGTGACAAAAAAAGATAGACAGACAGAGTTACTTTCGCATTTATAATACTAGTTTGGATAATATTTTCTTTTTTATTGAGTGTCATTTCAAAAATATGTAAATAACACTTACCAGTAAAAAAGAAGTTGATATTAGCTGGAACTTTCCCGCTGTTCTTGTAAGTGTGCTCGTTGCCAATAGGGACCCGGTGTATGCCGTAATTCCGGCACAGGTAGCGAACTATCGCGGACGGAGCCGTTATAGTGTCTACTAGGTACGTGTAGAAACCCAGGTAGCTGAAACAAATTAAATATTTCATTAACGGCTGATTTTTCAATGGTTGGACGAAACAGAGAGGGCTGTCCACGCAGTTACAGACCAACAGGCGAACTATGGAGGAGTATATACGCTTGAATGAGAGGTACGTTGTGTATATTTTTATACACATTCTTTAAAAGAACTTAGTTCGACTTCTTACGAACTATGTATGTAATGAAATCCAAGAACTTGAGTCAACCATATTTCTGATTCTTGTATTTTCACGAAACATAGCAATGGAATGGTAAGGGCTGGTTTTTCAATGGTTAGATTAAAGTTACATGGGGAATAATTATGATGCTGTCGCGTCAGAATGTTTGGGTAAGACAGCGACAGCAACAATTTTATTCCACAGATAACATTTATCTGACTATTGAAAAAGCAGCCCTAATACTAATATCACTAAAGGTTTATTTTTTTAAGGTGTAACGTCCGCAAACGAGCCCTGTTACCTGATGGTAAGCAATCGGTGCTGCTCATGAACACAAGAGAAATTGGAGATTTAAGGATTGAGAATGGATGTAGGGAGGAAAACGATTCGGCCTCACTCATAAGTGTGGAGTGTTACGCTTCAGTACGATTGGGTCAGCTCGACCGGAGAGTTACCACGGCCTCACAGAAAACCGGCGTGAAACAACCACAGCGTTGTGTTTCGCCGTGTGAGTGAGGTTACCGGATGCCCAATCCTTCCTCTTCCCCGATCCCTCCCCAATCCATAAATCTCCAAAACCCTAATCCCTAAAAGGCCGGCAACGCACTCGAAACTCCTCCGTTGCAAGTGTCCATGGGCAACGTGATTGCTTACCATCAGGTAGTCCGTCTGCTCGTTTGCCGAACAATTACATAAAAAATGCAGGTAAACATAATGCTATGTCGGCCGCACATAAAACCCCTCCCCACCCTTCCATCCTTATTCTTCAAATCCTTAAATCCCTTACAATCCACAAAAGTTCAGCAACGCACTTGTAGCAACTCCTTTGGTATTGCGAGTGTCCATGGGCGGCGCCGATTACTTGCCATCAAGTAATCCGTCTGCTCATAGCCGAGCTATGCTATAACAAACCTAGCACTTAATAAAATAAACACAAGGCACAAAATCCCTTACCTCAATTGCTGTATATTAGTCTGAGGCCGATCGATAGGTCCGCTTTGACTACAGACTGCATTAACTTGTTTCAATCCAAGTTCCCTTCGAACTTTCTGAAGGAAGAGGTTCATATCCCGGGTCGACTCAAACGTGAAGGCTATTAGATCTCTACCAGCGACCGTAGACTCTAGGTACCGAGCGAATTTTGGATCTGTGAATCTTATCTGTAAAAGAAATTGTGAATGAAAAATTGTTGTATTGCCACTATAAGCATGACTCCCACATGCTTCGGCACGAATGGGTCGGCTCGACCGAAGTGATACCACGGCCTCACAGAAAACCGGAGTTAAACACTACAGCGTTAAGCTTCGCCTTGTGAGTGAGTTTACTGGGGGCCCAATACCTCACCCTGCCGCCATCCCTTCCCAGTCCTTAAATATCCGAAACCCTTATCCATAAAATGCCAGTAACGCACTCGTAACTCCTTTGGTATTGCGGGTGTCCATGGGCGGCGCTGACTGCTTACCAGTAATCAGTTTGCTCGTTGGCCGATCTATCACATACAAATGGTAAGCAATCGACGCCGCCCATGGCAAGAAAAAGGAATTACGAGTTACCAACCTTTTGGGGATTGGACAGGAGATTTAGGAAGAGATTAGGTGGGGCCTCCGGTAACTCAACTCACTCACACGGCGAAACACAACGCTGTGGTTGTGTCACGCCGATTTTCTGTGAGACCGTGGTATTGCTCCGGTCAAGCCGGTCCATTAGTGCCGAAGTATGGCTCTCCCACACTTAAACACACAACTTCGGGTTTATAATATAAATAGGATTTATTTATTCATATATAACTTACCTCAAGCATCATCGGTTCATAAACAGGCTGTTGGAACATTTCTCGGTTCTGTCGAAACCACGCGACAGCCTTATACGTGTCTTCACTGTAACTCCTCAACACTTCCAAGCGCTTATTGTCCACATCCTCTAGTGTTCTTATTCTGACAAATAAATTTATATGGTCAAAAGATATTTACGTTGATCACTCTAAATACTATGGCTGACATTGACATATTTAAATATCAACTTTACTTTATAAGGACCGTTCATAAAAAAAAAGTTTTTTCACTACATTATCCTTTCGCCCCACCCTGGGCGTCCCGACCCGAGCTTAGGGCTATTATATTTAGGGCCGAGGTCGCAATGAGGCACTGCGACCTCGGACCAAAGGAGAAGGAACGGGAGGGTTTTTAGTCAGTAAGAGTCTGACACGCCCTCCCGCCTGACCCGACGACCGAGTCATTTTTGATAATTTTCCTCTCACAAAAAACTCTGGGCGGTGAAAGTCATTTGCAAAAACAACTTAATTTTACTTTACACCAGAACGCTAGATCTTCTATTCTTAATAAACATTATGCCTACATGTGACCAGCGACGTGGATTACATTATAACCTATACTTTTTTGTATTGACTAGTTGTTAGTTCAAATAATGAAACTGTTTTTTGTTTCTTTTTATTTAAATACAAAAATTGCTAGTTTAACAGTATTAGTTCCATCCCCTCCCCCAATCTCTCCCCAATCCCAATATTTCTTAATCCGTAATCCCCAAAAGGTCGGCAACGCGCTCGTAACGCCTCTGTATTTACGGGTATCTATAAGCGGCGTTGATTGCTTACCATCAGGTAATCAGTACGCTCGTGTGGCGACCTATGACATAAAAAATATAGATAAACATATACTAACTTGTTCTGATAAGCTCTGATTTGCGGTATAACATTGTGATCATAATCATATTGTATCTCTGATTTCTGCTTCTTCTGATTGCCTATAGCCGCATTAGTTCTTTCTATAGGAGTTTTTATTTCCGCCAATTCCATCTTCACTTTTGTACCTGTAAAAAACATATTATTATAACGAAATTCTGTCTGTGCTAAAACGATCTGGTTACAGTTACTTAAAGTATAGTTTTCATCATCATCGCCAATAAGTGCTTTCTGCTGAGCAAAGGCCTTTTCTCATACGGAAAAGGTTTAAGCAGTAATCAAAAGTCCGAGTTATCATTTACATATTTCGAATTAAGACCAGTAAAGGTACTCTGAATGGCAAACAAAATAATTAAAAATAGACTAGAGAGGTTATTTGCTTGTTCCAAAGTATAGATTCCTAAGAAGAACGAGCTAGAAACTCCATGGTTACCCTTTTTTTATAGGTTTCGGGGGATCCATGCTTCACTTCGAATCCGAGTCGACCGAAGTGATACAACGGCCTCACAGAAAACCGGCGTGAAACAACATTTACATTGTGTTTCGCCATGTAAGTGAGGTTACCGGACGCACAATCCATTCCTCCTCCGCATCCTCAATTCTCATATAGGGTATATGAGAATTGATTGATCCCGGAATTCCTATGACCCACAAGAGGTTGACAACGCACTTGTAATAACTCCTTTAGTATAACGAGTGTCCATGGGCGGCGCTGATTGCTTACCATCAGGTAATCCGTAAGCTCGTCTGCCGACTACACCAAAAAGACCAGTATATTTCTGTCTCCAATAAAGAAACTTACCATCTCCAACCCTCTCCACCAATCTACACCTGTCCATTTTCAACTTCTCCAGTTTAGCTTTAGACTCTTGTAGTTCTCTTTCTCTGTTTCTATGTCTTTCCAATTTATCTTGGAAAGCATCTTCAATCTGCTTCAATTTGGGCTCTTGTAAGCGGATAGCGCTTATGATTTCTTTAACTTGATCTTTTAAATTGTAAGTCTTTTTGTTCTGTAAGTAAAATTAAAAAAAAATATTATCATACTAGTGTGTATTATAAATGCGAAAGTTACGATGTTTGGATGTTTGTTACTCAATCACGCCAAAACGGCTGGACGGATCTGGATGAAATTTGGCAAAGGCATAGGACTCCGGAATAGGACATAGGCTACTTTTTATCAACATACCACGCGGGCAAAGCCGCGGGCGGGAGCTAGTTATTATTATTTTTGGGTGTAAGAACCAAATTCATATGCATTGCACCATTTTTGATCTTTTCACGTGCAATGCATTGACTAATGAAAAGGTTAACAATACCAATATTAGTATTTTAGAACTAAAAATTGCCCCACACTAGGATTTTCTCGAATGTCGGTGCGTTTACAAACATACAATAACAATATTGATAAGTAATAACAATACTTTTGCTATAAAAACCAAAACACTTTAATAAACAACACAATTAAGACAGTGTTGAGTTTCGGCGTTCCCCTATCCATATCCCCAAAACCCTAATCCCCAAAAGGTTGGCAACGAACTAGTAACTCTTGCGTTGTTGCGGGTCTCCATAAGCGGCACTGATTCATTGTCATCCTTCTTCTTATTTGCCGTTCTATCACATAAAAAACGACTAAAACAAAACAAACAACCGCACTTACCGCAGCCAATTTTTGTTGTTCTAGCCTCCTAATTTCTACTCTAGCGCCCTCTATGACTTGTTCTAAAGGCTCCACTTTAGTTTGGTGGGTTTTCACAATTTTAATTGCCTCGTTCTTATCTCTTGTCAACTCAACGACTTTGTCCCTCGCGAATTTATACTCTAAGAACATTTTCTTTTTTTCACAGATCTCAATTTGCTTCTCAATCTCCTTCCGTTCTTGCATTGCGTCTATTATTACTTTTAATCTGGAAATGTAAGATTTTTTAGCTCCTGTATGAGAGGAGGATGTGTGTGGGAGAGACATGCTTCGGCAAGACTGGCCAGCTCGACCGGATTTTTTTTAAATCTTTTTTATAAAGACGTTGCTCCACACTAGGATTTTCTCCTGTGTCGTGGGTGCGGTTACAAACATTCAATTTCACATAGACATGACACCCAGACCCGAAACAACAATTTTTGGATCACACAAAGTGTTGTCCCGTGCGGGAATCGAACCCGCGACACATTGCAAGGCAACTAGTTGGCCAGCCACCGCACCAACCGTGCAGTCAATTGATACTACGGCCTCACCGATAGCCGGCGTGAAACAACACGGGCGTTGTGTTTCGCCGTGTTTCCTGCCCATTCACGCCGAAGCTTGGCTCTCCAACACTTTTAAACGGTATTTACACCAAAGTTTTTAGTCTATTTCGCTCTCCAAATAAAAGTTAATTCAGGAAGTAGTGCTATCAATGAAATAATAATCATTTTAAATATGATTTCAGTGAACTGGCTTTGATGCCCTATGATTTTGTAAAAATTTGGCTGTATGTACTCTATGAGTATAAATGTGGATGGATGGAGAGGGAGAGGGAGACCAAAGAAAATATGGATGGATTGTGTTAGAAGTGATATGGAAGACAGAGGAGTTAGCCATAGCGTGACGCGTGACAGGACAGAATGGAAGAAAAAAACATATAACACAAATAAAACGGGACAAGGACAGGAAGATGATGATGATGATGATTGGCTGTATGTACCCTAACTTTCTTAATTTTAACCGTCTAAGACTGATTTTTCAATAGTCAAATAAATGTTTTCTGAGAAATTAAATGTGCTGTCACTGTCTTATACAAACATTCTGACGCGACAGCATCATAATTATTTCCCAGGTAACTTTTATCTAACCATTGAAAAATCAGCATTCCATTGCTGGTTCGTGATAATACAAGAATCAGAAATATAGTTGACTCAAGTTCTTGGATTTCATTACATACATAGTTCGTAAGAGGTCGAACTACAGTGCGGCCGATGTATCTTGGCGAGTCTGAAGTTAGCCGTTTGTCTGCGCAATGGATCTTTTAGGAACAAAATTGTGTACTGCGCAGCTAATCGGCTAACTTCAGACTCTCTCTCAGTTCTGTTAAAGAATGCGTGTTAAAAAATCTACAACGTACCTCTCATTCAAGCGTATATACTCCTCCATAGTTTGTCTGTTCGTCTGTAACTGGGTGGATAGCCCTCTCTGTTTCGTCCGGCATTCGATCAGTTCGTCTAATTGACTGACACTCTCCTGTCCACCCACCGCTGATAAAGTGCTACGCAACAATTCTTGAGGATTCATCTTCGAAAAATCTTGGACTCTGTCTTGAGGTAGTAACTGACATAAGTTGTCTACCTGTGAAAAAAGAAACGTTAAGTACTCATTACTACATCAAAATGCCCATCCAGAGTTTATTTTTTACTAGCTACTCTCGCGCGGTTTCACCCGCTGCTCGGCTCCATTTAATCATAGCGTGATGTTTTATAGCCTATAGCACTCAGGAACATTGTAGCTATCTATCAGTATCAATTTTGAAAATCCTACCAGCGGTTCCAAAGATTACAAAGGCTTAAGACTTTACAGGTTTTCTGTAAAGCCGTGGTATCACTCCGTTCGAGCCGACCCATTCGTGCCGAAGCATGGCTCTCCCACACTCAGTTTTTTTTTAAGCTGAGTTATCATCTTATGACTTTGACTGCACGGTTGGTGCGGTGGCTGGGCAACTGTCTGCCGTGCAAGGTGTCGCGTGTTCGATTCCCGCACGGAACAACTCTTTATGTGATCTACAAATTGTTGTTCTGGGTCTGGGTGTCATGTGCGTGTGGAATTGTATATTTGTAACCGTACCTACGACACAGGAGAAAATCCTAGTGTGAGGAAACGTTAAAATACCAATGATTTCTCTTGCTCAGGGCATGAGGGAGTTTCGGATTCTTACTGACTAAAAACCAGCCCGTTCCTTTTCCTGCTCGGAGTCGCAGCACATAATAGATAGAGCTTATATCTGCAACCCCGGCAAGACATTGGCCCTAATGGGAATGTGTGGTCTAACGGCTCTTTGAGACGCGAAAGGCCCGCGACGCACACTCGGGTCTGGTTTTCGACTTTATCTAAAGAGTAATTCAGTTGAAAATCTAATAACAAAATTGGTAAGAAGGTTGACTTATATTGCCTTGATAACTAAAACCATTCAATTGATAATTGAACTAAAGTCTACTGCGTCACCCACTTATACAATTGAGTGACGCAGTATATCAGAGAATCATGTATCTTTACAAATAATTAATTTTTTTTTTCACGTACTCATCACGTATCACCTCATTATCAGCCTCATCCAAATACACGACACGACTGCTTTGTAAAAATTAACTTGACTATGTAGGAGAACCATGCTTCGGCACGGATGGCTCTGCTCGACCAGTGATATCACGGCCTCACAAAAAACCGCCGTGCTGCCCCCAATCTCTAAATCTCCCTAATTCCGAAGTTAAGCAACGCACTCGTAACTGCTCCATTGTTTTAGATATCTACAGGCGACGCTGATCGCTTACCATCACGTAAGGGTGCAGTTTCATTGAGGCGGAGCAGAGCAGGGCGGAAAAGAGCTTGAAATCCATGACATTTCTTCCCCAATATGAATTTCAAGCCATGTGATTGGTGAATCGAGGCACAGCTTTTCTCCGCTCCGCCTCAATGGAACTGACTAAAGACAGATTAAAAACTTACTTGTATATTCAACGAAGCTATGAGTTCTTGTACTTTCTTCACTGTAACCAAATTATGGTCAATATACCATTTAGATTTGTTTGACGTGTTGAATGTTCTCCTGATGATAACATTCCTCTGTCCGGGGTTTTGGTACAATTCTATTTCTATTGTCGCTTCATCACAACCGCTTCGAACGTATTCTGATATCTGTAACAATAAGTATTACTGTATGTATCCTATGTATACCTAGGGCATGTATGCTTAAATCTTTAAATGATTGATGAATGAAAAATGTAAGTTGCTCTCAACCGTTTAGGGACTCATTGGAGATCTTTTTCAATTATAGCAAAGAGCCTGGAATGGGGTTTACTGCATTTTCTGTGCAGTCCCATAGGTGGCGCTAATCTAGCAATTATACTAAATTAAATTTAACCCATCACATTTCTGTCAACATACAATGTCCTTACGCTTCTTCATTCCCTATTGGTTGAGGAGACTAAAGGTTCACACTAACGCCATCTAGCGGGAATAAACTATATCCACCATTTTTTATTTATATTGTAAGTAACCGGTATTATATTTAGCGCTTGATTTAGTATTCATAAATGTTCGCGGTAAATAGTATACAGTTCATACGAATCACGTTCTATATTTTATTTTATTTTTTTCTGGTGCAGCTTTTTTGTTTATTGTACACAATGAAGAACAGAACACATGAAGTTGGTACAAAAGGAGGACTTAATGCGATATAGCATTTTCTACCAGTCAACCTTTGGGTCAAGAAGAAAAATCATCGACAAAAATGTACTTACAAGAAAATAGGTATTAAAAAATACATAATTAATAAGCTTTTCAGACATTGTAAAGCAGGTCCAAAACCTCTTTGGAGGATTAATAACTATGATGTTAAAAAAAAACATTTTAACTCACATTCTTAGCTCGTCCAATAACACTGGGCTCGCCACAGAGCCCCAGTATGATGGCGCATACAAACGTGGATTTGCCAGTGCCATTGGGACCGATGATCAGGTTCAGGGACGAATTTGGTAACAGCTCCACACTTTGGTAGGTTCTGTAAATGATATAATGGGCACAATGAGTAGTTTATGAAAGAGACAGAAAAAGAAAAAATATCAAAAAAGGAAAAGTATCTTTCGGGATGTCTAAAATTATATGGTAAACAATTAATAGTATATCTAAAGAAAGAGAGAGAAGAAAGAAGAATATACATTTTTCAGACTGTCTAAAGTTTAAAAAAAACGTTCCCCTACAATAAGATTTTCACCTGTACCGCTTACAAATAAACAAATTCACATACACAAGCTACCAAACAACACTTTGTGGATCACAGAAAGTCTACCAGGAGTCGAACACGCGACACGTTGAACTACAGTTCAGCTTCAAATATTTAATATACACTGGTTAATATCTATAAATAACTCAGCTTCCATTAGTCGTGGTTTGATGTTTTACAGTCTATAGGCTTTCTTCTCTATCCAACACAAAGCATTATTGAAATTGAACCAGCTGTTTTGAAGATAAGCACGTTAAAACAAACAAACTATTCAATTTTGTGGTCGCGTATATACCCATAGCGTGCATAACCAAATAATGTTTTTTTCAATAATATTATTTGTCTTATAAATACTAATAACAATGTATCACATGTTACAATTTCCGAGTTATCAACTGTGACATTTTGTGTGTCACAGTTCACTGTGTTTGGGCCTCTACTATTATTTATATAAGTATAAAGACAAGTTTGCCATAAATTCCATCTAAAAAGGTTAATCATAATGTACCGTGGCCCCGGCCCAAACTGGAGATGGATGGTGGATGGATAGTCAGTGACACACCCTCTCGCCATAGTCAAGCGGAAGAAGGTATTGGAAGAAATTCTCACAAAAAAAGTTAATCAATGTGTACTGCTAGCTGGTCTCTCTCGGCTATCATGGTTTACCTTTACCCAAATTTTGATAGTTTCCTCAGTCAAAAATAAATTATTTATTCGGTGAGGCGAGAGGGAGTGTCAGACTCTTACTGATTAAAACTCGGTTCCTTCTGCTCCAAGCCGAGGTCGGAGAACCTTATTGAGCTTGTCTCACTTGACGTCATAATTCGCTATCTCAATTATCTCATTCAAAATTCATATACAAAAGTATCGTTTTAGACATTTCAATAAAAGTGCTGAATTTGAAAAGTTGTAAACAAGGATACTAGTTGGAATTTGAAATGTTGTCCCATTTTTGGACATTAACCGGGTGAGGATATAAAAGAATCGGTCTTACAACTAGGAGTCAGATGAGAAGTACCGACTAAATGATAAAACAGATAGAAGCACCGTCATCATCATCAGCCTATAAGTGCCCACTGCTGAGCAAAAGCCTCTTATACGGAGAAGGTTTGAGCATTAATCACCACGCTTACTCAAGGCAGATTGGCGATTTCAAACTTGTAATTAGAAATTATAAGTCCAGGTTTCCTCACGATGTTTACCTTCACCGTGTGTCAGTGGTGTCTAAATAATCATAGCAAGTACATATAACTCGGAAAAAGTCACATTGGTACTTGCCAGGTTTCGAACCCAATCCTTCATGCATGAGAAGAGGGCTGCTTAACCTCCGGGCCACCACGACATAACACCACAGAAGCACCGGATCACGTCTATTTTATCAGTATAATTGAACTAAATTTAAAAATTACTGAACAATATTTTGTAGCTGAACATTTTTAACAATCAATGACTAAACTAAATCAGTATTAGTCATTGCATTACTTATACCTATTGCACTCAAGTTTCCTGTATAAATTATTGGCGCAAACAGGCCTTGATTATATTATCCTTGTGTGTACTAATATGATAAAAACTAAAAAAAAATTACATAATTTACATCGTTCCGCACGAATGGGGTGGCTAGACCAGAGTTATTCCGGTTGGCGCGGTGGCTGGGCAACTGGCTGCCGCGCAACGTGCTGCGGGTTCGATTCCCGCACGGAACAACTCTTTGTGTGATCCACAGATTGTTGTTCCGGGTCTGGGTCTGATGTGTATGTGAATTTGTATGTTTGTAAACGCACCCATTACACAGGACAAAATACTAGTGTGGGGCATCATTAAAAAAAAACCATATTAATATACCAAGTTATATAACCAGTGTGACACATCGCCTGTGTTGTTTTTCCTCATGTTAGTAAGATTACTGGAAGCCTATTCCGAGCCCCTCGTCCCCAGTCACTTAACACCCAAATTCCCTATCTCTATATGGCTAGCAACAGACTTGTAACTTCTCTGGTATTGCGAGTGTCTATGGGCGACGTTCATTGCTTAATATTATGTGATCCACGTGTCGTTTGCCACCACACAGTTATAGAAAATGCAAAGGGATGATAGGATAAAGAAAAAAATTAGATCATTACACTAAATGCAAAGGGATGATTTCATAGGAGATTGGAGAACTCTCAGTGGAATTTCCATGTTTCAGTAGGTAAGTTGTAGGGTGTAGCTGGTATTAATATAATGTCAAATCTGGAAATCATTGGAGTAAGGGGCGGATTCAGTGACTATAACTTGTATATAAAAAAGAACATGCTATTCGCTAGTCTCAAGAATGGCTGGTGCGAATTGGATAATAATTCTGGTCTTAAAATGTTTGTTGAAGTCCAGGAATGGTTTAAAAGGGCACAACAAATAGTTATATTTGAGGCAGTACAAAGTTAGCCTTGTCAGCTAATATTTATAAAAAAAATAAGAATTAGATTATTAGAATGCATTTTTAACTTTTTATTGGTATTTTATCTGTCCGCCTAATGGTATTGGTATCACTAAATATTATTACTTCCAGACGTAGATTAGGGAAATCACCTTTTTACGTTTATCTTTTGCATCATTTTGACGATTGATAAATATTAATTGACTGCAACATCAGAAAAATTATACACATCCTTATAAAAACGTGACATAAGTATTATTTTACGCAATCAATCCATAAAAGGCAATGAACCTAAATTTTTTTTTATACACACATTGAGTAATAAGCAATCAATAAGATGTTTTAATGGAATCAAATTAAAATTCTAAATAACTAAGCGCATAATGCATTTCAAACATACAGAGTGAATATAGACCTGGTGGTAACTAATCAGCCTGAACCTACAGAATGAGAAGCTATTTCAGCTATTTTTAGTTTGGCTCTTCCAGCCAAATGTAGAAACTTTAGCAAACCTTCTTCTGTGTAACTTTTTCTATAAGTAAGTTTTAGTATACTGTCTTGCCTGGTACCAAAAAGCATACCAGGCAGGTATGTGTATATATACACAATTCTATATCTTATAGACTTCAACAAACATTTTAAGACCAGAATTATTATCCAAATCGCACCAGCCATTCTTGAGACTAGCGAATAGCATGTTCTTTTTTATATACAAGTTATAGTCACTGAATCAGCCCCTTACTCCAATGATTTCCAGATCTAACATTGCATTAATACAAGCTGTATATATATAAATATATGTATATGTATGTATATTTACATAAGTATTTATAACGTCTCCAATGATGCTTGTTTTGTGCACCTTTATATTTATCTCTGCATCATCCAAAGGTTTGGCTGTCAGAGAATGCCCATGGCATTAAGCCCACCTTTGTACATTTGTTTTGTGCATAAAGATATTAAATAAATAAATAAGCAGCCTAATCTCTTAGGCCTATTAGAAACCCAACAAAGAAATTTCAACACTCCTCAGTGGTTGTGGTTTTAACGCTTTGAAAGAATTTGGCATAGCAGTAAATATGATAAAAATGTGAATCATTAGTCAAATAAAAATAAAAGCATAAAAAAATAACCTTGAAAATTACAACATTTAAAAGTATAACAAAATTCAAGACTGCCTTGTCTTTATAATCAGTTGAGTGTTTTGTTTTTATACGGTTTCATGTTATCTGTATAAATTTTAAAATTTAGGCATTCAAATTTGATAATGAATTTTATTTAAAACATTTTATATTATGTAGCACAAAATGGGGTGAATAGAATTTGAGGTTTTAATAGATACACAAAATGGGTGAATTTTCCTAGTATTCATTTCACCTCTCAACTGCGTACATTCACCCTTTGAATTGTATTCACCCCATTTCACTGTTACTAAAATCATTAGTCCATATCTTCGTTTTAGGATGAAAATTATAGACAATAGCACTCAGAAACATTGTTACTATCTTTCGGTGAAAGAATTTTGAAAATCTGACCAGCGGTTCTAAAGATTACCCCTAATTTTAATGTAAGTAAACGTTAATTTTTGGCTACAATACAGAATTAACACAAGTTCAACATTATCTGGCTACTGAAATAATGCAGTAATCACACTCTAACACCACTCACAGTCTGTAAGTACTAACAGGTAGATATCTTAGTGAAAACATAAATGGGAAAATGATGATGAGTTATTTTAAAGTAGATTTTTAAAGAAAGAACAACATAAGTTTGATCATTCATAGCAAGCATTTGTCAACAAACATTCAGTTGAAAACACCAGCCATTCTCAATGACTTGAAATAGGGCGTGGTATGTTCAAAACCTATTATAAGAAATTATGTTAAAGTCTTAAATAACAACGTCAATTTTTGAAGCTTATGAAATACAATATATTTTCATAATTAATTCTAATTTATATAAAGTTGTCGAAGAATTTCATACCAATGAAGTATTATTACTAATATTCAAGTATTTCTAAACAAAACAATTGTAAAGTGTCCAGTTAATTCAGATAAAACTCGAGGGGCAACTTGTCGGAACGTGTTGAGTCTGGATACATCTTTCAAGGTCCCTCAGAGAGTTACAAATAAATTGAAATAACAAATCATACGACATTTATTCGAATAATAGTCTTCAAATGATGTTGAATATAAAATGAATCAAGTTAACAAACATAAACTGTGATTGCGCGCGAAAATTATTTTACTTACACGAAGTTAGCAAGTGTTATCCTGTAAATGCAGCCGGCCTTTTGGCCTCCCGTGTTCTTCACTTGCGACATTTCACAAGTTTATATTTTGTTATAAAATCACAAAATAAGACATTTGCGTAGCAATCAATTGAAATCCCGAAATTTCCGGTAGCAAAAACAACACCTCGATTTGCTTTTTTACAAATGTCAAACTTACTTGTCAAATAGACATAGACACTAATCTTAATGACAGACGTAGTGATGTATATTTTGTTACTAACTAAATTATTTTTCCACAACTTAGAATTTATCATTACTTACTAATTCAGTTGACTGATTTTTTTGATATTTCAAACTTGTAATATGGCTTGTTATATCTACCGCTTTGACTGAAATTATTTTTAGAATTTGCGTTTCGCATCAGACTGCATACAGTGTAGTACAAAAGCTATCTAATAATGTCACACTTAATATGTCGGGGAAAATATTTCTTCTTTTTTAAGGAAATATAAAAACATTTTTTATTTTAATTTAAATACCACTACAAGTGGTTTTGGCAGTCTTCATGTGATGTTAACCTGACACTGCCTAAAGAATTCGAATAGAACGCCACAGGTAGAAATCCGATGGTGCGAAAGGTCAGGACCATACAGCAAATGCATTAACATCTCCCAGCAAAACTCTCTTAATTTTTGCACAGTAGCTAAAGATGTGTGAGGTCTAGCGTTATCATCATGAAAAATCACACCCCTTCTGTTGATTACTTCCAGCCGCCTACTCTTAACTTCTAGCTTTAATCTTACCAGTTGTTCGTAGAAGACTTCAGAATCGATGATCTTCAGTATTATCTTCAGGTTTTATGATAAGATACTGCTTAAGCGACAATAAGTATGGTAGTACATATAATACTGTTTTTGAAACTGTCAGACTTCTTTTTGTACCAACGAAATGCTAGGTTGTGGCGTTAGAATATATTTGACTCTGACTATGTTTTTGAAACATCGATAGATTAATGTCAGCCACAGTCTTACAGGACGTTCACATATGAACTATACATACATATAATTTGAGTTTTGGGAAAACCAAGGGACTAAGTACCTAAATTTGACATGTTTCATCGTATGCGGTCCCGTTTGTTAAACATTTTCTATAAAAAGTTGATGAATGTTGTAAAATGCGTGGCTGTCCTTGTTCACGATTGTAAAGAACTTTACTTCCCAATTATTTTTTAATTTGACTTAAAAATCTCTGTATACCTAAAGAATGCTACCTGCGATAGCATCATGACCAAATATAAAAAAAAGACTTCAAGGAAGTTTACCGTTAAGTGCGTCTTTCCTCTTACGTTTACATTTTATCTGAAAAGTGTTGGTATTTTTTTTACCAATGTGTAAAAATCTAGTTGACTTTATCAGTTTAAGGCAATTTAAGCATATCTATACATTACATAACATAATAATTCATCAATCCATATAGGAAAATATCCAGTAACTATAAGATAGGTAGTAATCATCATTCTAGTGCGATATGATATGTTACACTTAACGGGTTTTAGTCAGTAAGAGTTTGACACTTCCTCTCGCCTCCCCCTGGAGAAGTCATTTGATGATTTACCCCTCAAAAAAAGGGGAGGTAGGTATGAAGATTTACTCATATTGGCACAGGTCAGACTGAAATTCTCCTCGTTTTTGAGGGCGATTAAAAATAAGAAGATTCAGCCCTGTAAGAGTAATAAGAGATACCTACACAGTGAAATTTAGATTTTTATCATAATTTATAAGTCCCACGTTGGGGTCGAGCCTTATGTGACATGAAAACTTTTACTTTTAAAGTTGTTTTTATAAAAGTATTCGTAATCGCAAGCGCAGTGGTGAGCCTTTTAAAACAAACAGACAGTGTCACTGTCTAGAAAACCTTAAGAAAAAATCGTATCTTTAGGAAAAATTGGCGTGATTTTTGATTACAAATATACAATCCGGGAAAAATGTACGCAGACGATATGACTGTATAATAAGGAATTTGTATTTTTATAAATTCCAGAAGATCAGTTAGTTTGGGTGTATTTCAAACGGTTACCTCCTCAGATCATGCGTACTAAAATTCATTTCGAACAGGTAAATGCATTTTTTACATCCAGCTCTGCCTGTGAGAAAATAAGATATCACTTACTACGTACCATAAAGAAATATAAACGGTTTGGAATTTAAAAGAAAATAATTCATGTTTTCATACATAGGTGGTAGGTACCTATTATCATATTTGTTAGGTAAAATGGATGGATAGGTATGGATCGACAACAAAAAGTTCTATAGCTATCTCTTATAAATTTGAATGAGGATTTTCAGTTACTATTTCCATCAGTGTTCCGATGTTAACTTCGTTTGCAGAGGTCGATGGTCTTCCAGAACGAGGCAAATCTTCCCTCACATTTCAACCGCTTTTTGATGCTTTGTACCTCTCATAAGCAAGTGTTTTTGATAAGTCAACTCTTCGTAAGCCTTCTGTATGATTTTCAGTGACTCCTAACTCGAAAGTACGCGATCATAGCGTCACCATCATTATTCATAATTTAAATGTTTTATGAATAAAGTTATACCGGTTCATAACGTAAAGTTGTATTTTCCTCGTTTTGCATTATAAATAATACTGGTTCCATCCATATGCACGGTCAGTCAATACGTGAACTTGGTTACGAGTGGTTCAGCAAGGAGGATGCGCAGTTTTTATTTTTAAAGTTAATAATATAATTTGATATCACAAAAAATGAAGTTTCTCGGGTTCGTTATCGAAGCTATATGCCTCGGACTGGTTTGTGGACGTAAGACAGCTTTTGTTTTTTTTACCTATTTATGTCATTTGGATTAGATACTTGTTTCGTAACATGTTATGTTAATATGTTTTTGTTATTACTGCTCAATGTTTATCACTTAAATTTGTACAATTCAAGAGGTTAAACATTATTATGTGAAGTGCTTTTTTGCCTTCTGAACATGACACGAAATATTTTTTTGTTTGTTTTGTAAACATTAATAACATAAAATCATTAACACAATTTTAAATTTATGTACTTAGTTTACTCTCATAGAAATTTAAATAACCATGAATTATTTGCGAAATGTTCTTATTGATTTGAATGTCAAGAAACTAATTATTGTTACAGAATACTCACAATGTCAGAAACCAGCCGGAGAAGTTGGGGAATACTTGCCAATCAACAAATGTGCACATTTGAAAAAAATATTAGACAAGCCACAAAAGACTAGCCAGGATATTGCCCTTTTGAAGAAATTGCATTGTGGCTTTGTAGGGAACATGCCTCAGGTAAGGTTGAAACAAAGATTTACTTGATATGCTATAAGTATAGAAGGTCTATTTACCGCGATATTAGTGACTCAAAATTGGATGCTTGTCGTAATAAAATTCACTAATTACGCCGTCGTAGGTTTCGTATTATACCATAAGTAATTTGTTTTGATTGAGTTAGATATTTAAAACCTCGTATCAACAATGATTTTGTATGATCTTTTAAACACATTTTTTTATAATATGCTCATCAATTTATCGAGTTTTAATTTGTTTGTCAGGTATGGTGTGCCAAACAGGGCGGCTCAGGGGAACCAGGAACTTGCATCACCCCAGATGGAAAGCCTGGGAAATGTGTAAACGTGTACTCGTGCCGACAAATCTCAAATCTCCTCAGACCACCTGTGTCCCAAAAAAATATGGACTTCGTAAAGAATTCTGCGTGAGTATGATTAATTTTTTTTCGATTTTCAAGGTACTGGTAAATAGATAGATTAATTGGTGTAAAAAATCAAATTATTTATTTCAAACAAACCAGTAAAGGTACTTTTGAGCGTAAAACAAAAAAATAGTTTAACTTCGTGTGTGCCAGTGTGTCGGTCTGCAGACAGTGTAAAGTCCTATGAAGACGAACGAAGTTACAACATTTAGAAGGTTCGAAATATAAAAACCGTTTGTTTCAACCAAACAAAACAAAAAAAAATTGGGATTAAGTATAAATTTGATTAGTGCTCGTCGAGTACCTTATTTCTTATTAACATTCACAGTTGCAAAGGGCCACATAAATTCAACGTGTGCTGTGGATCTTCATCCTCTTCTTCAGATGATGATATCCTTGATTCAAGATTGAGAGATGAGAACAAAGCGTGTCAATCTCAAATGACCGCTTATCCTCCAAAACCTAGCAGTGGTTGCTGTGGCATCTCAGCTGACGTCGGTAATAAAATTGTTGGGGCAGGTTAGTATTTTTTATATGCTACTAACTACTCCCGCGCGGTTTCATTAGCTGCTCGGCTCCATTTTATTGTAGCGTGATGTTTTATAGCCTACACCACTCGGGAACATTGGAGCTATCAATAAGTGAAAGAATTATGGGAATCCCACCAGTGGTTCCAAAGATTACCCCCAACATACAAACTTACAAACTAACAAATTTTCAAACTTACAAACTTACATACTTACAATTTTTACCTCTTTATAATATTAGTAGCTACTCTCGCGCGGTTTCACCCGCTGCTCGGTTTCTTTAAATCGTAGCGTAATGTTTTATAGCCTATAGCATTTAGGAACATTGTAGAGCTATCTGTCGGTATGTCACCTTATATTCCATTTGAGAAATCCCATTTGAGAGCATTTTTTAAAGGTAGAAAATCAACCGATTATTGTTTTGCCATAAGTTTGGAGTAAAAATGACAGGTTTCTACTGATTAAAAACCAGTCAGTTCCTTCTACTCGGAGTCAGACCGCAATACGTCTGATGACTTTACCAACCACTCGAATTTACCAGTTGAAAGCGTGTAAGTATTTAAAAGTTTTCAAATTTTCCAGGTGGTGAAGCAACCGGTATAGATCAATATCCGTGGACTGCTCTGATAGAGTATGAGACTCAAATCCCACTCTTGTTATGTGGTGGTGTGCTTATCAGCGGGAGATATGTCGTTACTGCTGCCCACTGTATAGCAGGCGTGACGCTGAAGAATGGAACACCGTAAGCAAATTTACTTGTGTTATCTTTTCGCTACCTTTATATAGGTATAAATTTATTGTTACCTGATGGTAAGCATCACCCGCAACATCAATGGAGATGTGAGTGCGTTGCCTGCCTTTTGGGTATTAGGTTATTGGAGGGATTGGGGGAGGGGAAGAAAGAATGGGCGTCCTGTAACATCAAACACAAGCGACACATTACACTAAGTTGTGGTTATATCACGCCGGTTTTTTATGAGGCCGTGGTATCGCTCTGATCAAGCCAACTGCTCGTGCTCGTGCTGAAGTGTGGCCCTTCCACACTTATTTTTACCTATGAAATTTTATTTCAGAAAATCTGTTCGGCTGGGAGATTATAACATTACTAACGAAGGCCCCGACTGCAAACTATCAGAAGGAGGAGGCAAAGACTGTACTGAAGGTGTAACTAGAATAGCAATTGAGAAGACAATTCCCCATCCACAATATAGTCCTATTGAAACCGCAAGATGGAATGATATTGGCTTGATTCGTCTGAAAGAGATTGCACCATATACAGGTTTTAAAAACATTTATCTTAAATATTTATTTTATTTGCAGCATCGGATGAGTCATACTGCTTAACCTCTATTCAGTGGTATTGAATATTTAAAATAGCATTTTAGGTATACAAGATTTCTGAGTATCCGCTTTATCTTCTTTGAATTTATTATAAATTTTCAATTAGTATAATCCCTAAATCGTAATCCATTTAGGTAATCTCTCTGTGTATCTCTCTCTCTCTCTCTCTCTCTCTCTCTCTCTTTTCGTCTGCTTTCTAATAATCATACTTAATATTAATTTTATTAGACTATCACAAAACGAAGCGAAGTCTGGTAATTTGTTTAAAAAATAGTAAAAGACGTACCTATTGAATTAATTAACAATCTAAATCTTAACGGTAGAATAAACGTATTTTTACCGCACATGCATATTCTCAAACGTTTTGTGTTATACTTGAAGAAGGAATGGCAAATAATGTATAATATGATCCTTTGACCGATGCATGCAAACACAAATAGACGACCGATCGACAACGATCCATCATCGAACAGCACAGAGTACGCTATATTACATCACCATCAATTTAAGACGGTTCGTTTTGAACGTCTACTAAAATCAAATAATTTCTCCCGCCCTGAATAGGGCGAGTGGGAGAACAAAGGGAGTATCAGACCGTACAGACTAAAAACGACCCTGTTCCATTCTATTCCTGCTGCCTTGCACCTGCAACCAAAAATGCGTCCATCCCGATTCTATTTTAAATTGTATAAAGGCTATCAAGCATTAAAATAAATATGTATCTAACTACTCTTCATAATTTTGTGAATGCAAGACGAAGTAGTTAAACTAATTAAGCTAATATTGCTCTTAGAATATCACCTGGCTGTAGATACCAGACCTGAGTAGATACTATTCTGCAATGTTTTGTTCTGCTATGTTAGTGTTCTAATAATTTATTTTTGCTTTCTGCCTCCGTTCGTCCACATTGTCACAACCATCATTACTCGGTAACGGTCGGAAAAATCTGGATTCAAAAATTTATTTTCTTTTTTTTCTAGATTTCATTAGACCCATCTGTTTACCAACAAAGGATATAACAATATCAACAAATAGAAATAATTTCTTTTCTATGATCGTTGTGGGATGGGGTGCAACTGAAAACAAACAATTTAGTGACGTCAAATTAGAAGTGGAGGTACCTTTTGTACCACTGGAAGTAAGTTAAGCGTCGATATTGGTAATAACACTTATTTTTTTAAAGTATTCGAAAATTGGTCTAACTACTAACTTATTTAAAAACAGACTCGACAAAATCTCCAAATCCATTAATACGCACGCATCAGCTTTCTAAGCTGCTAGTGTGTTCAAGTATATAATAATAATAATAATTTAGTCAATCGAAATATCTAATGTCCTATGTAATCAAATGTCGCGTGCTAATCGAAACATCCCTTAATACTTTTAAAATCTTTTTATATGATAAAGAATGCAATCAATTTACCATTAATAATTAATAAAAAAACAATGTTTTTACAGGAATGCCAAACAGCGTACGACACAGGCATTAATCGGTCACGAGTGCTTTGGAAAGGGCAACTTTGTGCTGGTGGTAAAAACGGCACAGACTCTTGCAAAGGTGATTCTGGTGGACCATTGATGTACGAAAATAATAAATTCTTCGAACTAGTCGGCGTTGTCAGCTTTGGCAAAAATCCATGCGGGACACAAGGCGCACCAGGAGTGTACAGTAATATTTACGAATATAAAGATTGGATTAATAGTGTAATAGTTCCTTAATTGGGCCTTTATTTCAAATTTAAGCTGTTCTTCACGATTGTTAGTCTATTGTTAAATTTAAAATATAGCCTTAATAACATAACAACAAATTTTAATGTATAGCTATTAGGTATCGTCGCAGTGTCCAAAACGCATAATATTTTTCCAATCGTAATTAGTAAAATGCAAAATTCTTCAAAGGAAGTTTCATCAAATTTATGTGTTATGAAGTTTTTGATGTTTTGATACACCAAGTTAATTACTTTCGAAAACATCTCTGTCATAACTGTATTTTTTTGATTTTGAATGTTAGGACTACTCTTGTAACTTTTCTACAAAAACCACCAAACATAATTTTAGTAAATCGGTATTATTATTTTGTATTTTCGAGAACATTTTCTGTGCGGTTAATCTAAGAAAATATAACTTTGAAATTAAATAAGTTGTGTGTTATATATTTTGACTATTATTTCAAAACGTTAGTTCTACTTGTCTAAATAAATTTAGTGAACCAAAAAATTGTAGTGGATAGTTATAATTATTGTAGGTAGGCACTTAATATCAATCCTGTCACGCGCGATGTTTATTCTTAACTCTTAAAAAGCTCTAAACAATTTTCATTTTGTAAAAACGCTAAATAGATTTAAGTACCTAAAGAATAGTGTTTTACGGCCCTCCTAATGATGGTGATTAGGTAGTGGTAATCATCCGTTTCAAAATTAAACATTTTTGAATGCATATTACGTCAGAAGTCCGTCCGTTATCTGTGTGATGACGTTTATGACTCTTTTAGTTAGCATTGCAAAGTGCTTTTATTTACATCTTATTTGGTTCCATGAGTCATTTGTTTGTGCGTCATAAATACGTTAACTAGTAACTTACTATTAAAAATAGGTATGAACATGCATTGGTTAATTCATACTTTTGTATCATAAACATCTATGATATGATACGAAAGTGTAAAAACAGGTCATTTGCTACAGTACACCACCTTTTTATGTATTCCACAACTCTAAAAAAACAAGAAGTAAAAAAATAAAAAATCTGCGCAATCGCGTACAGATTATCAAAGCAAACTATTTTTATAAATACTAATTTAGTAAGTTTTGAAATGTTACAACACTACAATGTGGACAGCATCAAAAAATCCGGTGAGAAATCTAATTTTTCGTAGCTAGCAACACAACAGAATAAATTGACGAATCGCAGCGTTTTCCAACAAGAGCAAGAGCCAAACAAACCGATTCCGACCGATGAGCTTGTCTGTCGTTTTGCAAGGTGTATGCGCGTCTTGTAATTTTTTATCGGATGTTTGTGTATGAAAACAAGTGAAAATACATGTTTTCTTGAATGAAAGTGTGTCCTAACGGCCTACATATATTATGAATTAATGAACTAAATATAATTTGATGTGATTTTCAGTGATAAAACGATAATTTTATCCGTGTCGAAATTACGGAGAGAGCATTCATGTTTATAAATATTGATTTGTTACATCTCTTGTTTTCTAATATAAGTTTTGCGTCAAAAATCGTGAAGTGAGATGTAGGGTATATAATAACGTGTAAAATATTCTTAGTAAACGAAAATGCAACAGTTAGTCCAAACTTACATGGACGCGATCGATGGTATAACTTCGTGTATAGTTTGATTGTGTTTTTGTGTTAAAGTGAGTGTTTTTTGACAATGGAGGGGACTACAGAGAAGGATTGTTCTCCGTTATGGAATCTATACCAGCAGATCGTGTCGGACATGAAGGTAGGCCGCTGTGACTGATATTCTTTGTAGTCTTTCAACCGGTCGCGCGTTCTAGATTTACTAGGAAGTTGTCCCGGTAAACTGCTCGCGTATAACGCAATGTTTGACGCTCCGATAATTATTATAGTCGGTCAGTTTTTAGCACGTTTTAAAATTATTTTCATGTGTGGGTAGATTAAAAAAAAGTTGGCATTATGTTCCATGTCTTTGCACACACAACACAAAACAAAAAATAATAATTACTAGCTTTTAAAAACATATCCCCAATACTATCTTCTGTTCTTTTGAAGCATTATTTAAACTTACCATTATTTATTTAAATCACATTTATAATTAGTTTTATGCTATCAAATATTATTTTTACTCACTATAACTCTTAATATTTTATTTACTAAGATTTCATTTTTAGTTACTATAAAAATATATCCCTTCAATAAAATTCAAAAAACCTTAGAATGTTGATTACACTACCTCTTTGGTCTCATCAGCTTGAAAGAAATTAAATTAAACATACAACTTTTATTCTTAAACTCATAAATAAAAAATCACTAGCATTGTTATGTAATAAACACGAGGACTTTGTCTATTGAAGATAGAATTTTTTTTTTTAGTATAAAATTACCTGTCCTCTTATTTTCCTTGTTTTCCATCCTTACAATCCACAAAAGGCTATCAAGCAAGTAGTCCCTGGTTTCCATCTTTTAGTTACCAGTAGGTAAACAGTCAGATAATTTGCTGACATATCCAAAAAATATAACTTCTTACTTGATTTCACTTGGCCAACATGATCTTCAAATTGGCCAACTTATATGACATTTAAAATCTAATATCTAAGGATTAAATTAAAAACTATTTTTTCATAAGTCTCCACTCAATTAAATTTTTTATTACTTATCACGTTTTATTTAATTTAAGTATGTTTTTTTAATTAACAAAATTGATAGCGGTATTGTCTATCCTGCTACTTTAGTTTAGTTTAGTTTTAACTTAGTACCCAGTTATATATCTTCAAAAGAGACTTCTATCTTGTATTATACAATATTTGTCAAGCTTTGCACCAAATCAAGCTTACGGTTGACTGTTCCAAATGTTTTATGTATACATTATAAAGAAAAAAAATACTTGGAAGGCCGTCTGGCTGGCCTATTTGATTACTTTAAAAAGAAATGCTGAAACTAGAAAAAAAATTATTACCTATCGCCCACGGTTTAACCCGCTGCTTAGCTCCAAATAGTATGTATGTAGTATGATCTGTATCTACACAAAACGACCTTGTCCCCTTGTACCAGTTGTACCAGTTGTTGACATAAGTTTGTTCAAAGAAATAAGTAAAGAACTTAAGCTTTATTATTTCAGTGAAGATGTGTGAAAACTGTAAGTCTGCCTTACACTGTAAATTGTGTTTATTTTTTATTTTTTTGTAATATCTGTACCTATGATCTCAAGACCATGACCAATGAACAAGTTTAAATGACTTCCAAGGTTTTATTAATAATAGTTATGGTTTTAGTAAACATTGCTAGCATGTTGTCTTATTTAATAAAATATTTTAAATTACCATATTAAATTACCTACCATTAGGTAGTTAGGTAAATAAATATTATTTGAGTCCAACTCTGTCTTCTAGTGTTTTTTAATAAATATCTTAATAAGGATGGTTGTTAGGGATTATCTTTTTATACCTATTTTTTTTTTACCCTTTCGTGTGTTTTAAACGTGGATCCACACGAGACACAATGTATGTAACAATGAAACAATGAATTTATTTTTGTAAATATACGTATTTTTTGTACATATAAATGTGTATCTTCTATTGTCTTAAATAACGGCATTCAATCGGTTAATAGTTTTAGTTACTTAGTACTTTTTATATATATATAATTTATTTGACGTTCAAAACTGCGTCGTGTTATTGAAATAAATGATTTGACTTTGCTCTTTGTGATGTCACAATTTTGTCTTCTGTTCTATAGGTTTGTACACGTAATTTCACATTTACACTACAGCTAGACAACATTAATAATAATTCCTAAATTATATTATAAAAAAAGTAACCGTGCGGGAACAAAAAGCGCGTGCTTGCGACGCGTCGCTCCGCGTTTGGATTAGCCGGTCGGCCATCAATTGCGCGCGAAATAATGACTAAGAACGATTTTCGAATTTTAAATATTTGCAACCAAGCAAGGATTAATTTGGACCAGTTTATGATAATATGCAAACCATAGATAATTAGCAAATTAAATTGTCAGCTCTAATAATATCAGTAATAGATTTATTTTAATGACCAAGTGAATTATGTAGATCGTGATAGGTTAGTTGCGATCTTCGAGTTTTCGCGGTATTTCTAAGATATTTTACAACATTTCAACCTTTCACGATTGCAGTGGGTACTATAGAAGACTTACATGAATGGTTTATAACTATCGATCGCAAAGCATTAGCAAACTGAAGTGGCAGTGGGCAGGAAAGAGAATCGATGACCGTTGGCGTAGACGTGTTCTAGAGTGGAGGCCGCGTCTAGGCAAACGTAGTGTAGGGCGCCCGGTAACTAGGTGAATTGATAATATCCGTAAGGTGTCTAGCAGGGGTTGGATGAAAAGAGCTGAACATCGAGCTCAGTGGCGCACAATTGGAGAAGCCTATGTCCAGCAGTGGACGGAAACGGCCTGACGATGATGGTCATCACGAATGACACGTCATCAGCTGTTCTGATAAAGTGAACATTCCTCGAATACAATAGAAAAAACATTGTGTCTCGCGTGGATCTGCGCTTAGTGCGCTTACACATATCACGGGTTACCTAAACTTCATCGCTAAGCCTTTAACTGTCGACAGAAAACTATTGAATGCAAATTCTCTGCTACCGACGGTTACCGATGACCTACGTTGCGCTTAACATTTTAAGAATGACATAACCTCTCTTTTACAATTAAATAATATATTAATTGTCTCTTTTTAATTCCATAAAAATGGAATAATAATAAGTAACCTAAGTAGCAATACACACAAGGACATTTTGTCAATTCAATGCAGTTTCGAATTGCATTACAATTATTTCATACGCTCCACCATTCATCTTAATAACAACGTAATTTCTAAACATCCTTATCTCAGCTACATAACGTCTATTTTTGCATTACAATGTTGCTAAGTGCTATGGTTGATTACAGAATTAATTTGTTAAATTCTAGACATGTCCGTGTGTGTTAGATCACGACTTTTTATATATGTATTGTTTATTATAAGGCTTAGATTTATGTATATGTATAATAGTGGTTTACTGTTTAGTACCTTAACGAGGA